GCGCTGCTTTACTTCTGAGGCCACCCAAGATCAGGCTTCTCACATGCAGGCAGGCGCAGTGTCATAGGAACATAGATCATGGTTTATAATATATAGACCTCAAAGTCGGGAGATGTAGCTGCTATGTGACCAGTTTGACTTAAACTCTAAAAACTCCAGCTTCCCTTAGCAACCGTCCTAGCAACGTCTGCCGCTGATACAGAGAAGCTAACGGCATCAGAACAAATGCCCGTATAAGGAAATTGGCTCCAGCTTGTTTTACATTAACACTTGTGACGTCACAGGTCGGAACAAGTGCATTTGGGTCGATCGTCACGATTTTAGGCCAATCAGCTTCAAATGCCGATAATGTTTCTCTTAATTTGGGACTGATCCAAATTCAGACACCACCGCCAAATGTTTTCTTTCAGTACAGCGCTTTTCAGGACCCTCAGACACGTCACATGTCATCAATTCCAGTAAACAAGTCTGCAATCAGCGCCTCCCATCAGCCATTCAAACACACACCTCATTCAAGGCAATGTGGGTGAAGTGTCTTGCTTAAGGACAACCACAGTGCCCTCCCACTCTGGCTCCTGGTGTTCCCAAACGTCTCCCATCACAATACTAACCAGGCCCTGCCCTGCACAGTAAAGTAAAACAAGTCCACTGGTAATATGTCACATTGACAGTTGGGAACAGACATTTTGTTAAAACAAGTATTTTATTTTAGTGATGATCAACATAGTTGAACACTAAAGTCATAAATACACTACATATTTACTTCATGCAGAGACACATGGACTTGACCCAGAGCAACGAGACTTCCACAATGGATCATTGAAGGTGTTCTGAGTTTAAAACTGGGGTTCCCGACTTTGTTCCAGTCGAACAAACAGATCAAGACTTCATCTTGTTAGAAAACTCAGAGCCACATCATGTCCACTGCAGAGGCTCAGGACCTGGACGAGAACAGACCGTTAGAATATCAAACTAACAGATAAAAGTACATTAAATAATTACTTGTGTGGTGGGGGGGCCCATGGAAGGTGGGGAGGGCCTTTGTGAGGCCCCTGAGGGAGTAGATATGGAAATGCAGGAGCCACGGGCAACTGCTGAATCTGTCCGAGAGGATAATGAGGAGGTGCAACATGAGTTTGACCACGGGGCAGTGACACAAACTGGTTCAGGTCAAACTGGTGCCCAGTTGAAGTGGAGCCGTGCTGCAGGGGGAGCCCCCACAGAGCTTCCAGAGGGTTCTGAGGAGCACTAGGAGCAGCAGGAGCAGCATGTTGCAGCAGGTGGTACCATGGGTGTGTGTGTGGAGGGACCTGAGGCGTGTACAGGTGGTTCTGGAGCAGAAGAGGAAGTAGATACTGCAGATAAACAGCAGCTTGTGGAGAATCTATGGATATTCCTTGGTTTTGGAGAAACTGCAGTAAATGGTGAAGGACATGCTCCAAATAAGCTCCATGAGGAGGACTCGTGGGAGGCTCGGTTGGGAACGGAGGCCAATAGGGAGGAAAGTGAGGGAAGTGAGGGACTGGGGCTGCAGTTGTAGTTGGGAACCAGGGGAAATGTGGAGCAGTAGGTGTAGCGCCATCTAGAGGTTTGGGGCACTTCAGGGTCAGTGGGACGCCGTACCAGTTCAGAGGGTAATTGTAGCTTCCATCCTGAAGAGAAAAGCATCAGTACAGTTTCACAGAACAAACTAGTCTAAAGCTGTAGTAATTTACCTCGTACACAATATAGCAGCCTTTATAAGGAATATACACAGACAGACCGTGAGGAGTCCTCTCCACATGGCCAGCAGGGTCTGCAGCAGGACCAACATTAGTTAGTTATTAAAGACCTGAAATACAACTGTGGGACTTACGCTGGCCCAAGTCAAAGTGCTGCACAGGGGCTCCAGTCGCTCTGAACCTCATGGAGTTGGGTCCACACACGACCGAAGACTGGATTTGTTTCCATAGTAACTGTTTATGATCAAACGCTAAACACAAACACATTACAGAATGAGACGTCATCATCGGCATCACGAGTCACAGAACAAAGATGAACCAAGGTCAAGCGTTCATCTTTATTTGTAGATCATATTTAAAAACAGCCTCGAAAGTTAAGACTGCAACAACACAAATATATTCATGAGGAAGTGGGATTTAAAGTGAATGATTGACAAGTCAAAAGGTCAGAACAAACAGAAACCAAAACAATTCAAAAGCCATTGGGTGCCCATGTCCGCATGAGTTTCCTCCGGGTGCTCCGGTTTCCCCTATACCACTAAACAGTTACAATGGTTCAGGCTGAAGGAGTGAGTGAAACTACAGATGGAAATGAGCCCAAGGAGACAATCCAATGATTTTACAGCACAGTTCATTAATGAACTCTGCCCCGAATACATAAATGGTTTAACAATATCACCCAGAGGCTCAAACTACTGGCCCCAGAAAGAAACGAGAGAAAGACATTTGAAACAGTTGAAAGAATGTCGTTTGGATTAGATGGAGACAGAAACAAACATCTGTCAGTGACCATCGTGAGGTACCTGCAGCGTCTGCTTGGTAAGAGCCGCGGTAATCGTCCGAACCGGTTCTATTTGCGCTGGTTCCGAACACGATGCGTCCTTCCCAGATTCTACTCGTGTGCTCTTCTTTGGCTCCATCTCGTACTTCACTTTTCCTCAGAACAGCAGCTTCTGTTTGCACCAAGTGTAGCGTCAGTAAAACCAACACCGCAGCGACAGCGCAAGCAGCGGAAGAATGAGCGTGTGGCAACATCCCGTCACAGGAGTCTGACTCTGCGCTGAGGACCTCTGGGCCTTTAAGTATGGAGCCACCTGCGACCACCTGCTGTCAACCAATCAGAGACCACCTGCTCTGCACCAATCAGAGACAACATCAGGGACACTGACAACACTTGCTGCAGTCTGATCCTGTCTTTGGGGTTTTAATATTCTATTATTTTAAACGTTATTTTATCTAAGTTATCTAAGTTATTTGAACAAGTTTGTTTATGGATCAGAAACATAGGACAGACTCATCATTCAGGCAAACTGAGCTCTGCTGCCCTCTGGTGGAGGCATCTGGTCATTGCGTAGGTTTCCTCCGGTTTCTCCTACCACTAAAAATATGCACAATAGTTCTGGCATGCGCCTCCTGTAGTGACCCCGCTCCCATCTCTGTGTGGAGTGAGAGACAAATGCCCAAAAAATAACAATTGCAAACCGCTTTGTGACTCTGGTCTGTGAAAGACGGTATATAAATAATGATTACTTACTTACTTATTGATATGTTGTTATGTATGACGTCATAAACTACAGCTGAGGGGCCACAATGGTATATTGTGGAGGCTCAACTTGTTTTCATGACAACATTTCATATAATTGAAAGAACATATTTAACATTTCTTTATCAAACATTTCTTTGATAAAGAGAGGGACCATGAGGTGTGATATTTGTGTTTTGAATCCGTAAAAGAAACAAACTTTGAGGATGTTTTTATGTGGATTACATTTTGTGTTTTTTGTTGTGGTCTGTAGATTTCAACACTTGGATTGAACCTAAAACTGAACCAAAGCTAAAGAAAGCTGCGTATTGTGAACAGATGAATGTTTTTGATGAATTATTATGAGGTATAACGTGCCATTGTGTCACTCCTGAAGTTACAAACCTTGGTTAGGTATTGATTTCCATTCATTTAAATAGACTGCACAGTTTGCGGATGAGATAAGGACCGAGGGCCACATAGAAACGTGAATCGGGGCAATACAGTCTATGATCGGGGCGTACGGGCAGCACTTTGCGCAGGTCTGTCGTCTCCACCAGGGGGCAGGGAACATGGAGGTGCGAGTTCAACCATCACACCGCCTCTATGATGTGACGTCATACAGAATAACATATCAATGACCAGATGCCTCCACCAGAGGGCAGCAGCGCTCAGTTTACATCATATTTACTACATTCTTGTTCTGCCTAAATAATGAGTCTGTCTCTTGATTCTGATCCAAAAACAAACTCAAAACAAATTGTTAAAATAGAAAATTAAAATCCTACAGACAGGATCAGACTGCAGCAGGTGTTGTCAGTGTCCCTGATGTTGTCTCTGATTGATGAAGAGCAGGTGGTCTCTGATTGGTTGACAGCAGGTGGTCGCAGGTGGCTCCATACTTAAAGGCCCAGAGGTCCTCAGCGCAGAGTCAGACTCCTGTGACGGGATGTTGCCACACGCTCATTCTTCCGCTGCTTGCGCTGTCGCCGCGGTGTTGGTTTTTACTGACGCTACACTTGGTGCAAACAGAAGCTGCTGTTCTGAGGAAAAGTGAAGTACGAGATGGAGCCAAAGAAGAGCACACGAGTAGAATCTGGGAAGGACGCATCGTGTTCGGAACCAGCGCAAATAGAACCGGTTCGGACGATTACCGCGGCTCTTACCAAGCGGACGCTGCAGGTACCTCACGATGGTCACTGACATCTCCGTGTCTCCCTTTCTGTCTCTCTCTCGGTGTCTCTGCCTCTGTCTCTCCCCTTCTGTCTCTCCCTCTCTGTGTCTCTCTCCCTTACTCTCTCTCTCTCTCTCTCTCCCATGTGTCCTTGTATGTATAGCTTCTCTTCTGTTGTCTGTATGCATCTTTTATCTGTTTTTTTTCCCCTCTTTTCCATCTTTTTGCTTTTATAGACTTTCAAGCCACTTCTAGACTCTCCTTGTACCAGGACCCCAGCTTGAAACACACTCCAGAACACACTTATTACCCATGATAGATGTTAAATACTGAAATGACCACGGAATACCAGCGTGTTGTAGGCTTGGACTTTACTGCATAACAACAACGTTACATTCACTTCCTGTAGTGTCAAGGTACGTAGGCAGACAACCTAACAGACTCAGACCATATAGAACGATGTCAGAGCAACCGATGTCAATACTCTACAACTCCTCCTTTACTAGATAACAAGTACAGTAAGCAGTATAACCTTTACCACTTAAAATTGAACTAAAGTGATACTAATGCAACAGCAGTTTACTTAAAGGGATAGTCTCTTGGGAGGTCTGTGAGTACGCATTGGATAACGTCTCTCAGGTGTAACCGCCGGGCTCGCCCCAGCTCTAGGGAGACCAATGCGTGGGGTCAGGGGCGGACCAGGGCTTGGCAGACACCCCATGTCGCTGTCGGAGCTTTGCAGGTTCCGGCTGTCTTGGCCTGCGGTCGAGCTAGGCAGGCTCATGGTCTCTGGAGTAGCGCTGGCAGTTGGCAGGCTCAGGTCCCCCTGAGCAGCGATGAATGAAGCAGCAGGATCCACCATCTCCGCTGCAGTGCGTACCTCTGACCCCCGTAGTTGATCAAGGTGGCGTCGCCAGATAGGGTCCGGAGCTACTTCTACGGTGTAGGACAAGGGCCCTTTCCTCTCTCTGATTATACCGGGAATCCACTTGTGTTCTCCACGGTAATTTCTGGCAAGCACAGTCTGTCCAATTTCCAGTTGACGCGTTTCTCTATTGTGAGTCCCTTTACCCTGCTTGATCTGACGATCCATTACCGTCCGTCGCAGGTTCGGCTTTAGCAGGTCCAGTCTTGAGCGCAGCCCCCGTCCCAGGAACAGCATGGCAGGGGTTCGGTTAGTAGTAGCATGAGTGGCGTTACGGTAGGCAAACAGGACGTTGGCTAACTTCTGCTGAAGAGAAATGGGTGCATCCGCAAAGGCTCGCAGACCTTGTTTTAGAGTTTGTACGAACCTCTCGGCGAGCCCATTAGTAGCCGGATGGTAGGGAGCTGATGTTATGTGGCGGATTCCATTCAGCTTCATAAACATCTGAAATTCACTAGCTGTGAATTGAGGACCATTGTCACTCACCAACTGTTCGGGGATACCAGTTCTAGCAAAGAGACCTCTCAACACGTCTATTGTGTTGGCTGTTGTCGTGGATTTCATGGCGAACACTTCTGGCCACTTTGAACATGCATCGACCACTACAAGGAATGTTTTATTCATGAATGGCCCGGCGAAATCAATGTGTATCCGTTGCCATGGCGATGTGGGCCATTCCCATGTATGGAGAGGTGCCACTGTCGGTTCGTTCTGTACACGCTGGCACCCAGGACAATGTGCTGCGAGCTGTTCTATCTGTTGGTCAATCCCTGGCCACCAGACATAGCTCCTGGCGAGTGCCTTCATCTTCACCACTCCCAGATGACCACTGTGTAACTCTTCCAGCACCCTGGACCTGACCTTGGTGGGTATGATGATCCTCATTCCCCACATAAGGCACCCAGAGTCAATAGCAAGCTCATCCCGGCGTTGGAAATATGGAGCGAGGAAAGACCTTTCACTAGCTGCCCAGCCTGTCTGCGTTGCTTTGTACACTTGTGAGAGAGTTGCATCTTTCCGGGTCTCTCTCTCAATCATCTCCGCTGTCATTGGGAGGCTTTCGATCTGCATGAGCGTGAACATCGCCACTGATTCTTTGTCTCCCTTTGTGTCTGTTGCGGTGTCGAGTGGCAACCGAGACAACCCGTCTGCATTGGCGTGATTTAGCGTGCTCTTGAATTCAATCTTGTACCGATGCCCTCCCAGGAACAGGGCCCAACGCTGCATGCGTGCCGCTGCGGTCATGGGGATAGCCTTATGGGGGTTGAATATTGAGACCAGTGGTTGATGATCGGTCACGAGGGTGAACTCCCTGCCGTATAAGTACTGGTTAAATCGTTTTACGCCCCAGACCAGGCCCAGTGCCTCCTTGTCTATTTGGGAGTATTTTTTCTCAGCCGAGGACAGGAGCGGGAGGCAAACGCTATTGGTCTCTCAGTGCCGTCCCGCATGACATGTGACATAACGGCCCCTATACCATACGGTGACGCGTCGCATGCCAACTTCACAGGCAAGGACGGGTCGTAGTGTGTGAGCACTGTCTCTGATGTCACCAGCCTTTTCACTTCCTGGAAGGCCTGTTCGCATTCCTTGGTCCATTTCCATTTCCGTTCTGCCTGGAGTAGTTCGTTCAGAGGATGGAGCACTGTAGACAGGTTAGGCAGGAACCGGTGGTAGTAGTTGATGAATCCAAGGAACGATCTCAGTTGCTGTACATCCTGTGGCTGAGGAGCCTTCATGACGGCATTGATCTTTTCTTTGCATTTATGCAAACCCTGTGCATCAATGGTGTGGCTGCAGTATGTGATACATGGTTTGAAAAACTCACACTTGTCACGTCTGGCCCGGAGTCCGTAATCTTGAAGTCTCTGTAAGACCTTATGGAGGTTCTCCAGGTGTTAGTTATCGTTGGCCCCAGTCACAATTATATCATCTAAGTAACACTGTGTACCTGGAATCCCCTGCAACACCTGATCCATAGCACGCTGCCAGATAGCCGGGGCTGAGGCCACTCCGAATACCAACCTGTTGTAGCGGTACAAGCCCTTTAGAGTATTGATGGTCAGGAACATCTTCGAGTCTTCCTCTATCTCCATCTGTAGATAGGCCTCTGCCAGGTCCACCTTGGTGAACCGCTTTCCACCAGCCAGGTTTGCAAAAATGTCCTCGATCCTGGGAAGTGGATATTGTTCTGCTTGTAGCACAGGATTGATTGTGATTTTGAAGTCCCCACACACCCTCACTGCCCCTGACTTCTTTGCTACTGGGACAATGGGTGTGGCCCATGGGCTCCAGTCAACTTTAGACAGGATTCCGTCGGCCTCTAGGCGGTCCAGCTCCGCTTCCACCTTCTGTCGTATGGCGTACGGAACTGGCCGTGCTTTGTGGAAACGTGGGATGGCCCCGTCTTGAAGAACAATTTTGCCCTTTATTTTTTTTAATGTCCCAATTCCATCTTGGAATACAGGCGTTGCAGCCACCAAGACTGTCTCCAATTTGACCTCTGTGGACTTGTCGGTGGTGTTTGGCGCCACCTGCAGGCTTTTAATGGACTTCCAATCCAGCTGTAATTTCCTCAGCCAGTCTCGGCCCCACAGTGCTGGTCCTCCTCTTTTTACAATGTACAAGTCCAATGTGCATTGTTTGCCATTGTGTTGTACCTCCACCGGCAATACGCCGAGGGGCTTGATTTTCTCTCCAGTATATGTCTTTAGGAGGACAGATGACGAGTTCAGCTTCTGGTCTCCAAAGTACTGCACAAAGTCACTGTGCGCCATCACTGACACTGCAGAGCCGGTATCCAGTTCCATCTTCACTTGTTTTCCATTCACCTGGGGTGTGAGCCAGATTGCTTCCCGGCCACCACCTTTAGCATGGTACACATCCAAGCAGTTTGTATGTTCACTTTCGTCCGATTCCTCACCTGCAGTTTCCTCTACATTGTACACTTTCTTGTTCTTGTGTGCATTCCACTGCGTCTTCCTCTCACTTTTATTCACTCTTGACTTTCCTGAGTGACAAACTCTCTGAATGTGCCCTGTCTTGTTACATAGTCTGCAGATTTCATCCCTAAATCTACACTGTGAAGGGGAGTGGAAGCCCCTCCCACACCTGTAACACGGTTCACGCTCTCTTTCTTGTGGGACTGTTGCCATTTTATTCACATTTATTGCCTTTACTCCTGTTTGCAGTTCAACGGCATCTCTGGCTGCCGTTTCCATTGAGACTGCGATTTCAACTGCCCTTTTGTAAGTGAGCTTGTCCTCGGTAAGCAGTCTCTTCTGTATGGCCTCGTTCAGAATACCGCATACCAAGCGGTCTCTCAGCGCATCATCCAGTCCCTGTGCAAATTCACAGTGCTCAATAAGTCTCTTCAGCTCAGCCACATAACAATAGATTCTCCCTCATGTTGATTTCGCTTGTGGAATCTAAAACGCTCAGCAATTAGTAGCGGCTTTGGCGATAAATGTTCTTTCATCACTTTCACCAATTCATCAAAAGTCTTATCTGATGGCTTATCTGGTGCAGTCAAGCTCCGCAACAGGCCGTATGATTTTCCCCCCATTGCACTCAGCAACACTGCAACATGTTTCTCCGCTGCTATGTCATTTGCCACAAAATACTGGGAAACGCGTTCAGTATACTCGACCCAGTCATCCGTTGTGCTGTCAAACGGGTCTATCGATCCAACTCTAGCCATCTTGTCACGCTGTGTATGCACACTCTCCTCCGAGTCACTACTGTCTGTTTCAATATGCTGCTCCTGTGAGACAGTAGAATCGGTCATCGCCGAGACATGGGTCCACTGTACAACCACCTCGTCGCCACTGTTAAATACTGAAATGACCACGGAATACCAGCGTGTTGTAGGCTTGGACTTTACTGCATAACAACAACGTTACATTCACTTCCTGTAGTGTCAAGGTACGTAGGCAGACAACCTAACAGACTCAGACCATATAGAACGATGTCAGAGCAACCGATGTCAATACTCTACAATAGAGATCCATTGTGGTAGTCGGATGCACTCTTCCTAATTGCCCTGGGTAAAGTCCATGTGTGTCTCTGCCCCGACGAGACGCTCTGCCCGACAGAAAGAAAATATTATTCATACAAAGTCATGATTAACTTTGTCAAATAGTCAAATTAAATACTTTTTCTGGAGGTGGAGGTGCTCACAGTGAAGGAACTCTTTGAACTCATGAAGCCGGAGAGCGGCCCCAGACCCAGCCATCTCTGTCGGAGCGGGAAGACCAGCTGCAGTTTATATATAGACAAACAATTAAATTAATGTGTTTTTGTATAGCCTTAAATCACAACAGTAGTTTTCTCAGTGATGATTGGTTGGATTTGTATTTAGATCATTTATTTTGAATCTGCACAACACATATCACATGTATCTATGTAACCGACAACATGGCTCGAAAAGGCGTTAGAATTATTGTATTTCCATCCACAACACACGCTAACACTTTATACATACACAAACCCCTATAGACACACTGAGACACACACACAGACACACGCACTTTACAGACACGCGCACAGACAGACAGACACACGCACTTTACAGACAGACAGACACACGCACTTTACAGACAGACACACGCACTTTACAGACACACAGACAGACACACGCACTTTACAGACACACGCAAAGACACTTTATAGACACACAGACACACACACACTTTACAGACACAGAGACACACACGCACACACACTCTACACACACAGAGACAGACTTTACGGACGGACGGAGACAGACACAAGAGGCTGTCATAATATATCAGTTGAATTCAAAGCATGCAGTACACACAATAATACATGAAACTTCTACACAACCATCACACAAACAACTATAGTGAGTCAATAAGAACAGAAAGAAGTCAATGTATAATCATTTTTGAACTATTCTATTCTCGTAAATTGTTCCTAGAATTTGTAATAAAGCTGAATTAAATTGATATTTCTGCTCAGTTTTTCTAATGTTAGTGCGACTCACCGCTGCTCGACTCCCGGACAGAGAAACAAGACACTGGAGTCTTGAAAGTGGACACTACTTTAAACTCCAGACCAGTGCTGCCCCCTGCAGGTCAGACAGTGCAATCATAATGCAATGTTTATATATGGCACTCTAAATACTGGAGAGGAAGAGGCATTTTAATAGTTTTGCAGCATCAGTCTCTCCATTGTGGTACCAGGTATTCCCAGCGGTCTCCCATCAGAGCATTCACCCCACAGAGCGCTGCTTTACGTCTGAGGCCACCCAAGATCAGGCTTCTCACATGCAGGCAGGTGCAGTGTCATAGGAACATAGATCATGGTTTATAATATATAGACCTAAGTCGGGAGATGTAGCTGCTATGTGACCAGTTTGACTTAAACTCTAAAAACACCAGCTTGCCCTAGCAACGTCTGCTGCTGATACAGAGAAGCTAACGGCATCAGAACAAATGCCCGTATAAGGAAATTGGCCCCAGCTTGTTTTACATTAACACTTGTGACATCACAGGTCGGAACAAGTGCATTTGGGTCGATCGTCACTATTTTAGGCCAATCAGCTTTAAATGCCAATAATGTTTCTCTTAATTTTGGACTGATCCAAATTCAGACACCTCCAGTTTGCCAAATGTTTTCTTTCAGTACAGCGCTTTTCAGGACCCTCAGACACGTCACATCATTAATTCCAGTAAACAAGTCTGCAATCAGCGCCTCCGATCAGCCATTCAAACACACACCTCATTCAAGGCAATGTGGGTGAAGTGTCTTGCTTAAGGACAACCACAGTGCCCTCCCACTCTGGTTCCTGGTGTTCCCAAACGTCTCCCATCACAATACTAACCAGGCCCTGCCCTGCACAGTAAAGTAAAACAAGTCCACTGGTAATATGTCACATTGACAGTTGGGAACAGACATTTTGTTAAAACAAGTATTTTATTTTAGTGATGATCAACATAGTTGAACACTAAAGTCATAAATACACTACATATTTACTTCATGCAGAGACACATGGACTTGACCCAGAGCAACGAGACTTCCACAATGGATCACTGAAAGTGTTCAGAGTTTAAAGCTGGGGTTCCCGACTTTGTTCCAGTCGAACAAACAGATCACGACTTCATCTGGTTAGAAAACTCAGAGCCACATCATGTCCACTGCAGAGGCTCAGGACCTGGACGAGAACAGACCGTTAAAATATCAAACTAACAGATAAAAGTACATTAAATCATTACTTGTGTGGTGGGGGGGCCCATGGACGGTGGGGAGGGCCTTTGTGAGGCCCCTGAGGGAGTGGATATGGAAATGCAGGAGCCACGGGCAGCTGCTGAATCTGTCCGAGAGGATAATGAGGAGGTGCAACATGAGTTTGACCACGGGGCAGTGACACAAACTGGTTCAGGTCAAACTGGTGCCCAGTTGAAGTGGAGCCGTGCTGCAGGGGGAGCCCCCACAGAGCTTCCAGAGGGTTCTGAGGAGCACTAGGAGCAGCAGGAGCAGCATGTTGCAGCAGGTGGTACCATGGGTGTGTGTGTGGAGGGACCTGAGGCGTGTACAGGTGGTTCTGGAGCAGAAGAGGAAGTAGATACTGCAGATAAACAGCAGCTTGTGGAGAATCTATGGATATTCCTTGGTTTTGGAGAAACTGCAGTAAATGGTGAAGGACATGCTCCAAATAAGCTCCATGAGGAGGACTCGTGGGAGGCTCGGTTGGGAACGGAGGCCAATAGGGAGGAAAGTGAGGGAAGTGAGGGAGAGGGACTGGGGCTGCAGTTGTAGTTGGGAACCAGGGGAAATGTGGAGCAGTAGGTGTAGCGCCATCTAGAGGTTTGGGGCACTTCAGGGTCAGTGGGACGCCGTACCAGTTCAGAGGGTAATTGTAGGTTCCATCCTGAAGAGAAAAGCATCAGTACAGTTTCACAGAACAAACTAGTCTAAAGCTGTAGTAATTTACCTCGTACACAATATAGCAGCCTTTATAAGGAATATACACAGACAGACCGTGAGGAGTCCTCTCCACATGGCCAGCAGGGTCTGCAGCAGGACCAACATTAGTTAGTTATTAAAGACCTGAAATACAACTGTGGGACTTACGCTGGCCCAAGTCAAAGTGCTGCACAGGGGCTCCAGTCGCTCTGAACCTCATGGAGTTGGGTCCACACACGACCGAAGACTGGATTTGTTTCCATAGTAACTGTTTAATAGGATCAAACGCTAAACAAACACATTACAGAATGAGACATCGGCATCACGAGTCACAGAACAAAGATGAACCAAGGTCAAGCGTTCATCTTTATTTGTAGATCATATTTAAAAACAGCCTCGAAAGTTAAGACTGTGCAACAACACAAATATATTCATGAGCAAGTGGGATTTAAAGTGAATGATTGACAAGTCAAAAGGTCAGAACAAACAGAAACCAAAACAATTCAAAAGCCATTGGGTGCCCATGTCTGCATGAGTTTCCTCCGGGTGCTCCGGTTTCCCCTATACCACTAAACAGTTACAATGGTTCAGGCTGAAGGAGTGAGTGAAACTACAGATGGAAATGAGTCCAAGGAGACAATCCAATGATTTTACAGCACAGTTCATTAATGAACTCTGCCCCGAATACATAAATGGTTTAACAATATCACCCAGAGGCTCAAACTACTGACCCCAGAAAGAAACTTTTGAGACGAGAGAAAGACATTTGAAAAAGTTGAAAGAATATCGTTTGGATTAGATGGAGACAGAAACAAACATCTGTCAGTGACCGTCGTGAGGTACCTGCAGCGTCCGCTTGGTAAGAGCCGCGGTAATCGTCCGAACCGGTTCTATTTGCGCTGGTTCCGAACACGATGCGTCCTTCCCAGATTCTACTCGTGTGCTCTTCTTTGGCTCCATCTCGTACTTCACTTTTCCTCAGAACAGCAGCTTCTGTTTGCACCAAGTGTAGCGTCAGTAAAACCAACACTGCGGCGACAGCGGAAGCAGCGGAAGAATGAGCGTGTGGCAACATCCCGTCACAGGAGTCTGACTCTGAGCTGAGGACCTCTGGGCCTTTAAGTATGGAGCCACCTGCGACCACCTGCTGTCAACCAATCAGAGACCACCTGCTCTGCACCAATCAGAGACAACATCAGGGACACTGACAACACCTGCTGCAGTCTGATCCTGTCTTTGGGGTTTTAATATTCTATTATTTTAAACGTTATTTTATCTAAGTTATCTAAGTTATTTGAACAAGTTTGTTTATGGATCAGAAACATAGGACTCATCATTCAGGCAGAACAAGAATGTTGTGAATATGATGTAAACTGAGCTCTGCTGCCCTCTGGTGGAGGCATCTGGTCATTGCGTTGGTTTCCTCCGGTTTCTCCTACCACTAAAAATATGCACAATAGTTCTGGCATGCGCCTCCTGTAGTGACCCCGCTCCCATCTCTGTGTGGAGTGAGAGACAAAAAACAATTAACATTGTTATTTAATTAACATTAAATAACAATTGCAAACCGCTTTGTGACTCTGGTCTGTGAAAGACGGTATATAAATAATGATTACTTACTTATTGATATGTTGTTATGTATGACGTCATAAACTACAGCTGAGGGGCCACAATGGTATATTGTGGAGGCTCAACTTGTTTTCATGACAACATTTCATATAATTGAAAGAACATATTTAACATTTCTTTATCAAACATTTCTTTGATAAAGAGAGGGATCATGAGGTGTTATATTTGTGTTTTGAATCCGTAAAAGAAACAAACTTTGAGGATGTTTTTATGTGGATTACATTTTGTGTTTTTTGTTGTGGTCTGTAGATTTCAACACTTGGATTGAACCTAAACTGAACCAAAGCTAAAGAAAGCTGCGTATTGTGAACAGATGAATGTTTTTGATGAATTATTATGAGGTATAACGTGCCATTGTGTCACTCCTGAAGTTACAAACCTTGGTTAGGTATTGATTTCCATTCATTTAAATAGACTGCACAGTTTGCGGATGAGATAAGGACCGAGGGCCACATAGAAACGTGAATCGGGGCAATACAGTCTATGATCGGGGCGTACGGGCAGCACTTTGCGCAGGTCTGTCGTCTCCACCAGGGGGCAGAGAACATGGAGGTCCGAGTTCAACCATCACACCGCCTCTATGATGTGACTCATTCAGAATAACATATCAATGACCAGATGCCTCCACCAGAGGGCAGCAGCGCTCAGTTTACATCATATTTACTACATTCTTGTTCTGCCTAAATAATGAGTCTGTCTCTTGATTCTGATCCAAAAACAAACTCAAAACAAATTGTTAAAATAGAAAATTAAAATCCTACAGACAGGATCAGACTGCAGCAGGTGTTGTCAGTGTCCCTGATGTTGTCTCTGATTGGTGCAGAGCAGGTGGTCTCTGATTGGTTGACAGCAGGTGGTCGCAGGTGGCTCCATACTTAAAGGCCCAGAGGTCCTCAGCTCAGAGTCAGACTCCTGTGACGGGATGTTGCCACACGCTCATTCTTCCGCTGCTTGCGCTGTCGCCGCAGTGTTGGTTTTACTGACGCTACACTTGGTGCAAACAGAAGCTGCTGTTCTGAGGAAAAGTGAAGTACGAGATGGAGCCAAAGAAGAGCACACGAGTAGAATCTGGGAAGGACGCATCGTGTTCGGAACCAGCGCAAATAGAACCGGTTCGGACGATTACCGCGGCTCTTACCAAGCGGACGCTGCAGGTACCTCACGACGGTCACTGACAGATGTTTGTTTCTGTCTCCATCTAATCCAAACGATATTCTTTCAACTTTTTCAAATGTCTCTCTCGTCTCAAAAGTTTCTTTCTGGGGTCAGTAGTTTGAGCCTCTGGGTGATATTGTTAAACCATTTATGTATTCGGGGCAGAGTTCATTAATGAACTGTGCTGTAAAATCATTGGATTGTCTCCTTGGACTCATTTCCATCTGTAGTTTCACTCACTCCTTCAGCCTGAACCATTGTAACTGTTTAGTGGTATAGGGGAAACCGGAGCACCCGGAGGAAACTCATGCGGACATGGGCACCCAATGGCTTTTGAATTGTTTTGGTTTCTGTTTGTTCTGACCTTTTGACTTGTCAATCATTCACTTTAAATCCCAATTGCTCATGAATATATTTGTGTTGTTGCAGTCTTAACTTTCGAGGCTGTTTTTAAATATGATCTACAAATAAAGATGAACGCTTGACCTTGGTTCATCTTTGTTCTGTGACTCGTGATGCCGATGTCTCATTCTGTAATGTGTTTGTTTAGCGTTTGATCCTATTAAACAGTTACTATGGAAACAAATCCAGTCTTCGGTCGTGTGTGGACCCAACTCCATGAGGTTCAGAGCGACTGGAGCCCCTGTGCAGCACTTTGACTTGGGCCAGCGTAAGTCCCACAGTTGTATTTCAGGTCTTTAATAACTAACTAATGTTGGTCCTGCTGCAGACCCTGCTGGCCATGTGGAGAGGACTCCTCACGGTCTGTCTGTGTATATTCCTTATAAAGGCTGCTATATTGTGTACGAGGTAAATTACTACAGCTTTAGACTAGTTTGTTCTGTGAAACTGTACTGATGCTTTTCTCTTCAGGATGGAACCTACAATTACCCTCTGAACTGGTACGGCGTCCCACTGACCCTGAAGTGCCCCAAACCTCTAGATGGCGCTACACCTACTGCTCCACATTTCCCCTGGTTCCCAACTACAACTGCAGCCCCAGTCCCTCTCCCTCACTTCCCTCACTTTCCTCCCTATTGGCCTCCGTTCCCAACCGAGCCTCCCACGAGTCCTCCTCATGGAGCTTATTTGGAGCATGTCCTTCACCATTTACTGCAGTTTCTCCAAAACCAAGGAATATCCATAGATTCTCCACAAGCTGCTGTTTATCTGCAGTATCTACTTCCTCTTCTGCTCCAGAACCACCTGTACACGCCTCAGGTCCCTCCACACACACACCCATGGTACCACCTGCTGCAACATGCTGCTCCTGCTGCTCCTAGTGCTCCTCAGAACCCTCTGGAAGCTCTGTGGGGGCTCCCCCTGCAGCACGGCTCCACTTCAACTGGGCACCAGTTTGACCTGAACCAGTTTGTGTCACTGCCCCGTGGTCAAACTCATGTTGCACCTCCTCATTATCCTCTCAGACAGATTCAGCAGCTGCCCGTGGCTCCTGCATTTCCATATCCACTCCCTCAGGGGCCTCACCAAGGCCCTCCCCACCTTCCATGGGCCCCCCCACCACACAAGTAATGATTTAATGTACTTTTATCTGTTAGTTTGATATTTTAACGGTCTGTTCTCGTCCAGGTCCTGAGCCTCTGCAGTGGACATGATGTGGCTCTCTCAGTTCTGTGGACACGGACCAGATGTTGTAAAACACATATTTGACTTGTTCGTTGTCTGACTCGATGTGCTAATAAATTAATTCTAGCTCACCCTGTGTGCTCTAAGTTAATTTGCTATTGGCACAAGTGTCATTCCTAAAAGTTTATGCTAAAATTACAAGAGGTGACAGAACAATCTCACTCTTATATTCTGATGCATTAGATCATTTATATTTTGAAACTGTCTCATGTCTGTGGTTTTAATCTTGGTGTAGAGCTCCATTGCAGCTATACAATCTAAAAGTAACAAATTAATTTGCCTTTATTCCTCTTGCAATTTTGAGGGAAATGCAAAAACTTATGAAAGACTAACTAACTTCCCCTGAAACTATTTGAAAAGGACCTCTCACTTGACCAAAGGTTTAAATTTATGTATTTCCCTAAACTACATTTTCTCAGACTTTACAAGCCGCAAACTAGGATCAGAGAATCAAACGGTAAACCCTGTAGCGCAGAGGGACCGATGTCCATAAATGTAGCTTGTCCTCGATCATCACTGTCGTTAGCCCAGTCCAGTCCAGAAAGGGCTAATGTGACTGCAGGTTTTCCATCAGACCACGCACAGGAGCTAAACTGACTCCTTCCACTTCCTCAAGTCTTCAGGTTAAGACTGAAGTCACCTGAGAAATGGGTGGAGTCTGTTTTCCTTTGTATTTGGTCTGATGGAAAACCTGCAGCCACAGCGGTTTCTGGACCGGTTTGGACTGTCCTTGCCAATCCAGTAGGGTCCGTTGATGTCTATTGATCGCCTGGTCTTCCCAGAGGACAACACTCATTTTAAAACTTTTGATTGGATTTGGGCTTTTGAATGGTATGTCCATCTAGATTTACAATTAACACTAGTAAATGTATCAGTCTTAAGTTGTAGATATGGCTTTATTATGCTAGCTAGACCTTTACGCTTTCTAAAGCTAGAGAATGTATTTTTTATTTTTTTTTCAGTTATTGTTCTGTGTTCGCCTCATTCCTACTGTTCTGTAACTTGTGATGCAACCCTGAAATTTCCCCACTATGGGACGAATAAAGGATCGTGATCTATATTGGTAGATCTGAAGTTAATTACAATGCCTACTTTGAGTTAGCGGCGTTTGGACATGTCTAACCTAAAGCTACACTAAATTAAAAAATCAGCTTTTCCCATTTTTGACCGGTCTTTCATTAAGTACAGTGGTATTAAAAAGTTACATTTGTATGATTTTCCTTTAAGTCATTGATTTGCTTGGTTCAGAAATTCCAGTAAATATATGAAATCGGAGACAAACACGGTGATATTTTAGAAGTGAAATAAAGTTTGTATCATTCACAGAAAGTGGGCAACAAGTATTTTAACCAAGAATTATTGTACCCAAGAGTTATTTTCCCCAAATTGGGCATTTAAAACGTTTTCATACCATTGTATTAGAGGTTGACAATGGGACAAAGAATTTAAATATTTTGTTGTAAATTGATAAAGCCATGATAGAATTTGTTTTTGTTACAGCAACAGGCTATTTGTCAAATTTAAGCCACATTTTGTCCCACTTTGGGTTAATCCTCTTGTTTATAGCATTTGAAATAGACCCATTTAGCACTGGATTAGCATTGGTTTATATTTAGAATGGTCCCGTTTTAGACCGCCAGATCTGGTGGGGAAAAAATCCTGTATTTGGAGGTGTTTTTTTAGGTTCTATTATATCAAATGTTTATGAATTAAGTAAAGTATTTTTCAGTACAAAGTTCTCCTTTCATTCACAATGGGTCTACTGTAAAAAGAGTCAGATTAACCTATTTATGAGAGGCCAACTGTCTCTTTGGGTCGACCTCCATTCAATTTGTTGTCATTTTCAGCCTTTGTCTCCATTCATTAAATATGAAATCTCTGGAGAAGAATCAATATTTGCCATGAAAATTATTTAAGTAAAAGTAGCGTTTTTATAGAATTCCACTGTTGACAATATATGAATGTCAGATCCTGAGACCTCGAAAGCTAAGCAGGGCAGTGCCTGGTTAGTACTGTGATGGGAGACCTCTGGGAACACAGTGGGGCGGCTGCAACTTCACCCACTTTGCCTGCTGTCTGCTGTGTGTGTGAACGGTTGGTGGGGCTGATGGTGCATACTGGTTGCCTTGCTTCTATCAGTGTGCCCCAGGGCAGCTGTGGCTACACAAGTGGTTGAATGGAGTGAATAAATATTGTCTTGTGAAGCATCTTTCAGTTTCTAAAAAGCGCAGAATAAAAGCAATGCATTATTATTATTCCATTTTACAGATGACTCCACGTATTCAGAAAATCACACAAGCTCTAAGTCTCAAAGAAGTTTTTCCTTGTGCTAAGTCAAGCACTTGAAGTGCTGTTAAACAAGGACAATAAGATGTAATCCCCACCTCTGCACCTTCTCCACCAACTCCCACTGATGACTGCTGCCGTTGTGTCCTTGGGCAAGACACTTAACCCCACTTTGCCCAAAAGCCCCCACTGAAAGATCAAGGCTATGCTCACACTCAGAGAGCAGCCGTCCTCCTGTGGACTCACCACCTGCAGAGGGTCAGTGAGGGGCTGGTGCTATGAGACTTGGGTGGCATCTCTGATTGCCACCCCCCTGACCCAGAAATGGATTAAAGGGTAGAAAATGGATGGAATAAGATGTAATCAATCCATTTTATTTATAGAGCCCTTTACAACTCTCAAACTGAAATTTGTCGATGGACTTATTCTTCAAGTGTCCAGGACTGTGAGATTTCATAACACTTTGAAGCAACTATGGTTAAAGTTCTAACTTCATTCTTACATATGCAGAAGCCTGTACTTTTCCATTTGATGTTTTGTCTATCTGAAGGCCAAGCTACATGGCATCGTGGCAGCTGCTGATTGGAGGTCTCTGTCGTAACATACCTTGTTTGTGTGCTTTGTTCGTGCTGTCTCTACCATTGACAATAAAACATGTCTTCTGTCTGAATGAAAGACACGATCCCAGACTTTGACATCTTCTTCAGGACTTTATGTTGAGTAAAAGTGGATATCGAAACGTGAAAACCTTATCAGGAGATTGCCAAACCGATACCGATCCAATATCACCAATGTTCAATACCAGGATAATATCGGGGCTAGCCTGGATTTAGCCATCCGTAAACTCCGGTCAATTATCATTTCCTACATGTACGTCTGGGTCTGATCCTAGTGGCTGCAGTTTCCTCGGTTGAATCCCCTCTGACCAATCAGCGAGCGGGGGAGGCGGGTGTTGTAGGTTGGTGTTGGTGATGTCAAGAGTTTGCACCAAATTTGCTGGTTGTAGTTTGGCAGAGACTCCAACACAAATCAAAGAATCAAACAGTTGAAACACAAGACATTAATAATAATTATAACTTGTCCTGTAATAAGGTCCTGTGTCTCGAATGTTGAAAGAATACGTTTTCGCACTACCCTCCTATGTTTTTGCACTTCCATTGCAGATCCTCTATTCAACTCACAGTGGGTAAATGTCAGTGTTGCATCCCAACCTACCAAACAGAAGGAATGAAGGGGCACAAGATAAATAAACAATAACTCTATACTAAAATAGAATAATAATCTCTAACTTTAGCATAAAAAAGCAGTACCAAACCCTAGCTTTAGCATAATAAAGAAGCAAATATGAGATATCCAACTTTAGCATAAGGAAGAAGCAAGAATGAGGTATAATTAGACTTTAAAACAGCTCTGCTTGTGTACAAGTCTCTCCATGGCCTCGCACCAAAATATATTAGTGACATGTTAGTACCATACGAACCAGCCCGGACTCTGAGGAGCACAGGGACTGGACTCCTGTTAGTGCCCAGAGTCAGAACTAAACATGGGGAGGTCGCATTTCAGATTCATACTGCTAAAATGGCCTGGCCCCACCCTGGAGCCAGCCCCACCCTCGGCGGCAACCCCCGAACCCGGTGATGGACACCGCCAGTAAGGGATGCTGTCAGGCTGAAGAAGGAGTCCTATCGAGCCATGATGGTTCGGGGGACTCCTGAGGCAGCTGTCCAGTACCGGCAGGCCAAGCGTGCCGCGGCCCGGGTTGTTGCAGAGGCAAAAACCCGGGACTGGGAGGAGTTTGGAGAGTCCATGGAGCATGACTATCGGTCGGCCTCGAAGAGATTCTGGCAAACCATCCGGCGCCTCAGGAGGGGGAAGCAGTTCTTTGCCAACACCATGTACGGTGCGGGTGGAGAGCTGCTGACCTCGACTGGGGATATTGTCGGGCGGTGGAAGGAATACTTTGAGGTTCTCCTCAATCCCCCCGTCACGTCCTCTGTTACAGAGGCAGAGGCTGAGGATGTTGGGGCGGATACATCCATCTCCCTGGCTGAGGTCACCAAGGTGGTTGGCAGCCTCCATGGTGGCAAGGCTCCAGGTGTGGATGAGATCCGCCCTGATTATCTAAAGTCTCTGGATGTTGTAGGACTGTCTTGGCTAACACGTCTCTGCAACATCGCGTGGCGATCGGGGGCGGTGCCAATGGAGTGGCAGACCGGGGTGGTGGTCCCTCTCTACAAGAAGGGGGACCGGAGGGTGTGTTCCAATTATTGTGGGATCACACTCCTCAGCCTCCCCGGTAAGGTCTACTCCAGGGTACTGGAGAGGAGGTTACGGCCGATGGTCGAATCTCGGATCCAGGAGGAGCAGTGTGGTTTTCGTCCCGGTCGCGGAACACTGGACCAGCTCTATACTCTCCATCGGATACTCGAGGGTTCATGGGAGTTCGCCCAACCTGTCCACATGTGCTTTGTGGATTTGGAGAAGGCGTTCGACTGTGTTCCCCGGGGTGTCCTTTGGGGGGTTCTCCGGGAGTACGGGGTCGGAGGTCCTCTGCTGAGGGCCATCCGATCCCTGTATGACCGGAGCCAGAGCTGTGTTCGCATTGCCGGCAGTAAGTCAGACCTGTTCCCGGTGAATGTTGGCCTCCAACAGGGCTGCCCTTTGTCACCGGTTCTGTTCACTGTATTTATGGACAGAATTTCTAGGCGCAGCCAGGGGTCGGAGGGGGTCCGGTTCGGAGACCACAGGATTTCATCTCTGCTGTTTGCGGACAATGTTGTCCTGTTGGCTCCAACGAACCAGGACCTGCAGCATGCACTGGGACGGTTTGCAGCCGAGTGTGAAGCAGCTGGGATGAGAATCAGCACCTCCAAATCCAAGGCCATGGTGCTCGACCGGAAAAAGGTGCCTTGCTGAAGTGGAGGAGTTCAAGTATCTCGGGGTCTTGTTCACGAGTGAGGGAAGGATGGAGCGTGAGATTGACAGGCGGATCGGTGCAGCGTGCGCAGTGATGCGGTCTCTGTATCGGACCGTTGTGGTAAAGAGGGAGCTGAGCCGAAAGGCAAAGCTCTCGATTTACCGGTCAATCTTCGTTCCCTCCCTCACCTATGGTCATGAGCTTTGGGTAATGACCGAAAGAACGAGATCGCGGATACAAGCGGTCGAAATGAGCTTCCTCCGCAGAGTGGCTGGGCGCTCCCTTAGAGATAGGGTGAGGAGCTCAGTCACACGGGAGGAGCTCGGAGTAGAGCCGCTGCTTCTCCACGTCGAGAGGAACCAGTTGAGGTGGCTCGGGCATCTGTTCCGGATGCCTAATGGACGCCTCCCTCGGGAGGTGTTCCGGGCACGTCCCACCGAGAGGAGGCCCCGCGGAAGACCTAGGACACGCTGGAGGGACTATGCCTCTCAGCTGGCCTGGGAACGCCTTGGGGTCCCCCAGGACGAGCTGGAGGAAGTGTGTGTGGATAGGGAAGTCTGGGCGTCTCTGCTTAGACTGCGGCCCCCGCGACCCGGCAACAGATAAAGTGGAAGAAAATGGATGGATGGATGGATAGACTGCTAAAATCGGGAACAATCTTCATGAAGATGTGAGACAGGCCTCCTCTCTGACAATGTTTAAAACCAGGTTAGAAACAGTCCTTTTTAGCTGTGCATGCAACTGAGGGATTTGATATTTTTGTCTTTCCTTTGAATGTACTGTGATTATTTATGATTTGAATGCTAATCTTATTTTGTTCAGCACTTTGAGTCGCCTTGTATATAAACCTGCCTTGCCTTGCCTAAAATGTCAAACTTTGGCATAATAAAGAAGCAAGTAATACTAAGCAAAATCACAATACATCACAGAATTGTATCGCAAGAACATCGAATTACGGCACAAACATCGCAACACTCTCGTCACATTTTTTTATTTATTTTTTGCCAATTCCTACCTCCTGCCTAGATAATCGAGTGACGCGAAAATCCCATTGTTCCCGCCAGCCCGTGAACGCACCACGGTCCTCCCAGTCAGATCCATCCCCGTGTTGTATGTGACGCTGCGTCTGTCTGTCTGCGCCTTCAGCCCTGCGCCTCCGTCTCTCCTCTCTCACGCCGCTTCCCTCGCCTCTCACTCGGGGGGGAGGGAATATTTTCTCGGCTCCCCCCAAAAACACCCCTGCTCTCCCTGCTCTGGATCACCGCTGGGTCTGAGAGATGCCAAGGACGGTCATGGATCCATCTCTGCCCTGCGCTCTTGTGCCCTAGCCCGGTGGAGGAAAGGGGAGGAGGAGCATTATTCGACCCCCGCCAGGTGAATTTATTACATCTAGGCTTTTTCGGCGTGTCGGTAGAAGGGCGAGGCTGGTTTTACGGCGATGTTTTGATTGTTTTAACCGTGGATTTTTAGGGTGGAACAAGGGGGAACCATGTCGGCTAGCTCTGGTTAGCTCCTGCTTCGTCATTCGCCAGGCTCTCTGTAATGGGGATGCGCAGCCGGTGTTATGCTTTATCCTGCACCCCGATTCAAATGGTCACCCCGTCTAAGCTTCTTTCTCCCAATTTTCTCATCCATCGCGCGTTTATGGGGGTGTAACATTAAAAAAATCCTCACACCAGACGCCCCTAAGCGGTGTTCTCCATCCCCAGAACTAGCACTAGGGATAGACCATGCTTTCTTGTGGTGATTTGCCATTGGTTTGAGGGCCACTGCAAACAATACAATTCAGAAATGGATATAGTCTTAAGCATACACGAATGCAGTGAATACATATATACTCAAATGCAATGGGTTGATCCAAAAAAAAAAAAAAGGAATTTGGAACATGTCTCATTGATGGTATACATTCGCTGTACTTATTAACTAGGATAGAAATAATCTTGTGACATTTGCAAATATTAACATCATGAAACGTTCTGCGATTAGCTTTGCGATCTGCTGCTTATTATGCCATAAAATTGTAGAATACTGGGTTGTTTCAGGGCCGAAATTGCACATTGGTACAACATGTGCTAGGCGGGGTGAGATGGGGACACTGCCTTTTTACTGTCTGAGCTGCAAAATTTGGTCTGAAGCAAATCATGGAATATGCACTTGAATGACTGTCTTTTTGAAAAATCTTAACTCTCCTGCAGCTAAATGTTTGCTGTGTGGACTATTCATTCGATGTCACTGATTGACATTTTCTTGAATGTTGTTTTATGTATATTTGTTCATTGTGCAGTGATCTGGTAGGATAATGGCAAGTGTGATTGCAGAGCACAGTTCATACACAAGATTAAAATCATAAATAATCACAGTACATTGAAAAGTAAAAGGGTGAAATCCTTTAGTTATCTGCCGAGCTATATGGAACTATTTTAACGTGGCTTTGAACATTGTCAGATAAGAAACCTGTCTTACATTTTCAGGAAGACGGTAGCAGATTTTGGCTGCATAAATCTGAAACGCTGCCTCCCCATGAGTAGCCTTGACTCTGGGCACCAGCAGGAGGCCAGTCCCCGTGCTCCTCAGAGTCCCAGCAGGAGGCCAGTCCCTGTGCTCCTCATAGTCCCAGCAGGAGGCCAGTCCCTGTGCTCCTCATAGTCCCAGCAGGAGGCCAGTCCCTGTGCTCCTCATAGTCCCAGCAGGAGACCAGTCCCTGTGCTCCTCAGAGTTGGTTCATATGGGCGGCACGGTGGCTGAGTGGATAGCACTCTTGCCTCTCAGCAAGAAGGTCCTGGGTTCGAATCCCGGTTGGACCAGGGCCTTTCTGAGTGGAGTTTGCATGTTCTCCCCGTGTCTGCGTAGGTTTCCTCCGGGTGCTCCGGTTTAAAAAAACACTAAAAATATGTACAATAGGTCTGGCATGTGCCTCCTGTACTGGCACCCCTGCTCCCAAAAATAACAATTGTAAACCGCTTTTAGACTCCGATGTGCAGTGAAAAGGCGGTATATAAATAAAGATTACTTACTTACTCTTATGGACTATGGAATGAGGCCATGGCCATAATATTTAGCTTGATCTTATACCGCCTTTAGCCCTTTGAGTTGATTTCTATATTGTACCAGTGCTTAATACAAATTGCTCATTTCATTTTCCTCCCATAATGTTTCATTGTTTTGTTTTTGACTGTCCTCAAATAGACTTTTTATATCAGAGATGACTAAGGAGTCTTTTCTTTGCTATAATGACTAGATTCTTGTATTGTGCCGACCTCCGGACAATTTGATTTCAATTATATGCAAAGAAAGAACTTTTTTTATTAATGTTTTTCTCATAGAATTCTTGCATTCGTCTTGAGAGACTGGCCTCCGGAAATAATTTAACCTTTTTTCTTGCTTCAATATGTTTCTTTCTTCAGAAAACCGCAAACATTCAAGTGGAAATTTTCAAAATGTTATTTTTGTCTACTTCAAGTGGCATTTGTGAGTTTTTGCCAAAGAACTCAACTGTACTCAACAGTAATCATTAATAATTAATTGACTGAGTCTGCGGACTAATGTAAACATTTCCTTATTTCTGAAGTGGTTCAGGAACAAAACAAACCAAAAAACCTTCATCATCATTGACTCAAGATATGGACGCTTTGCAAAACATTTCAATTCAAATTAATCCCCTCTCTCTCTCTCTGGTCTCTCACTCTCTGGTCTCTCTCTCTCTCTGGTCTCTCACTCTCTGGTCTCTCTCTCTTTCTGGTCTCGCCATCTCTGGTCTCGCCATCTCTGGTCTCGCCATCTCTGGTCTCGCCATCTCTGGTCTCGCCATCTCTGGTCTCGCCATCTCTGGTCTCTCTATCGCTGGTCTCTCTCTCTCTTTCTGGTCTCTCACTCTCTGGTCTCTTCTCCTTGGTCTCTCACTCTGGTCTCTCTCTCTTTCTGGTCTCACCATCTCTGGTCTCGCCATCGCTGGTCTCTCTCTCTCTGGTCTCTTCTCCTTGGTCTCTCACTCTCTGATCTCTCTCTCTTTCTGGTCTCTCTCTCTTTCTGGTCTCTCTCTCTTTCTGGTCTCTCTCTCTTTCTGGTCTCACCATCTCTGGTCTCGCCATCTCTGGTCTCGCCATTTCTGGTCTCTCTCTCTCTGGTCTCTTCTCCTTGGTCTCTCTCTCTCTGGTCTCCCTATATAGCCCTAATTATAGATTTTATTTATACGGCATGTAACATTTCCACAAAACCTCAAAATGCCACTAATTAAAATACAATACAACAACAACCCTGACTCTGGGAAGCACAGGGACTGGCCTCCTGCCGGTGCCCAGAGTCAGGACTAAACCTGGGGAGTCAGCATTTAAGGTTCAACAGTCTTTCCAAAAATGTGAGACGGGCTTCTACTCTGACAATGTTCATATCCAGGTTAAAAACAGTTATGTTTATCTGTGCATACAACTGAAGGATTGTATCTTCACAATTTTGAATGCGCTGTAATTATGAATTATTTTAATGTTTATTTTCTTGTTTGATTACGCACATTGAGCTGCCTTGTGTATGAACAGTACTATACAAATGCCTTTTTAATAAATTAAAATCAAGCAATTAGAGGAGAAAACTCTATTCAAAACACAACCACGAACAAACCGCATCATTTTTATACAGTATATTTATCACGCACATTTTGCACTATACATAAACAGTGCATTTGTCACAGTTTTGAGCAGAATCGGGCACATTACACACACCGGCTAACATTAGCATCCCTGCGTTGCTACAGCACTACTAGCATCCGCGGCTAGCTCCATCCTCCAGGCCTGGTCCACGCGCGCACACCTCTCTCTAACCGTTAACCTCGCCTCCTCCGCCGGCTTGGACTGCACGCGCCCCCCCCCCGCCCCTCCCTGGTTCCCAAAACGCGACACACACACGCACACAAAAATAAATAAATAATCATAGACATTTATTATTATTTTTTTCCTCGGTGCAGACGTGAAAGCCCCTCGCTCAGATCACCGGATGTAGTTATGTAACCATTAATGACACCGCACTCGTCCTTGAAACAAAAGCTGTTGTCTGATGGGGTTTTGGTTCCCCGGGTTTAGCAGCAGCTTTGAGGGGGGAGAGAGAGCGGGGAAGGGACCCAGGGCTGGATCTTTCCCCCCCCCCCCCCGGAGGCTTGCATCCTCAGCCTGGAGTTTATTGAAATGAGAAAACCCCGTCTCCTCTCAGCCACTGTCAGCCATTGTTTATGTTGTCATTGGAGGTGGTGGTGGTGGTGGGGGGAGATCATGGGGGAGAGAGAGGGAGAGGGGGGAGATCACGCTTGTTTTGCACGCTATGTCCCCAACGATGGCGATGATCACTGAGGGCATTCCTACCACCTCGATGCACGTACGCTGCACAAGACCAGGCGTAAAAACAATGGAGAATATGCGCCCAAATGCACTGTTATTGCATTTGTGGACTGATCGATTCTCGGGCATGCTGTAAGGAAAGCGCAGACTGTCTGGTAGGCCCAGTCCTGGCTTGTTTTGCATATGTCTCCCCGTATAATTATTCTGTGCATTGGCCACGTTGATTTGGCTTGTGTCTGGACTATGCATTCAATTACTTATCAATGTCTATGCCTTGTTTTGGCTCCACTATATTAATCACATAGCGGTAATGAATTAGACTTGGCTGTCTCATATCTGTCTGGAAGGTCCTTATTATGTCTCAGTACTGACATTTTGTATCTGCTGTGTATTCCTATTATTGTGATGACCTATGGGTGTAAATTAGCACTTATAACAATATCCTGGTAGAAGTATTTCTCTTATGTTTTGGTTAAGATCGAGATTCGTTATTTGTCCCACAGTGGGCACATTTCAACGTTGCAGTGCACACACAGGTTTGTAGTAGGAGACACACAGGGAGCACACAAAATATACAATATAAGTAGCTGCTATGTTTCTTGGCTTGCTGTAAATGCTTCAATACACTGATTTATCTCTAATCTCTGTTTTTATATATAGTGTAAAGTTGGATATAGGGAAGGATACGAATTAGTTAATTTTTAGTTGTCACAATAATTACTACAGTGCGCTCAGTTGGTAGAGCATCGGACTTGGCCTGAAGGTCGTGGGTTTGAGCCCCCTGCAAGACCTACTTCACGACTCCCACTAAAGACTGCTGTCGTTGTGTCCTTGGGCAAGACGGTTAGCTCCACTTTGCCTGAAGCCCCCGCTGAAAGATCAAGGCTCCTGTGGATTCACCAGTGCTCTGTGTGCCGGGTGCAGCTCTGACTGCCACTACCCTGACCCAGAAATGGAATAAGGGGAAGAAAATGGATGGATTTATATATTTATTCTTATTCTCACTACTTTGTCAGTAACTGATAGATGAAACTATATATTTATATCTATCGTCTGAAAATTTTCTTCAAAAGTGGATAGTTTTGTGCTGTTTTCATTGTACAACAATTAAGCTTTAGCAATTTGTAAGAGTTTAACATTCCTGCATGTGGCAAGAGCTCTGGTGTGTGCTCTCTGTCTGGTGCACTCTGGGGTAGTCTTGCACAGTTTTTCCAATGTGGCAAATAAATGAATCTGAATCTGATGTCAGACCTCTGAAGCTAAGCAGGGTAGGGCCTGGTTTTTACTGTGATGGGAGACCTCTGAGAACACCAGGTGCCACAGTGGTTGTGTCCTTATGCAAGACACTTTACCCACATTAGAATGAGTCTGGTGTGTGTGTGTGAATAGGTAGTGGTGATGAGAGGGGCTGATTGCCTCCCTTCTGTCAGTGTGTCCCAGGGCAGCTGTGGTTTGGACCATGAATCCTCTCTGCTCTGGTCTGGACCAGTGTAAAACCATGAACACTGTACTGCAGCAACATCTTAGGTAGAAAAAAAGCAAGAAAAATAAAATGTATAATGCACAAAACAACAACTGTTCCAGAGCCACCCAGGACCTGCAGCCGTTTTCCAGCTCATTCAAAAGGGCTCAGTGATTTTCTATCATCGCATTTCTGTGTTTGCAAATCCACAGCTTTGTAAAGACGTATGAGATGACCACAGTTGTGATTTAGAGCTACACAAAAATACATTGAATTGAATTAACAGGACAGTAGTAAGAGCACACAAAATATACAGATACATAGCTGCAGATGCGTCCGTAATAGGAGCAATAAATCTATAAAGTTACAATAAGTATAAGCTTCTACAATTCAATACTTACTGTAAGAGCCATTTTGTTGTGGTTTTGCAGGTGTGCTTTTTGTTTTCCCCGTCATCCTGGAATACTTTGTTTTGGAAAGCTCTGCCGCTCAATGATGAATGCCATAATAACGACACAATCCATCATGTGTTGTATTTCACCTCCACCTGTCACGATCTTTCATCTGATTGGTTCACAAACAGGAAGTGTGGGAGAAAAACTAACAGGCTCTGTGTTTTCTCTGCCTTGTGTTTCCTTCCAGTTCGACTCCGCGCCGCTTTAAAACAAGCCGACACCACTGAAGGAAGTCGTACAAAGAAGCGACAATAACGGGAGGAGCCTTCGCGTTTCAGCAGCGAGAGGAGAAAGTTTTGGGACCAGGAAGTGAATCAGGAAGTGGTGGTGGTGGTTGTAGTAGCGGGGGTTGCAGGTGAGAGCGCAGGAGGCGGGGTCAGGACTGAACGGATATTTGCCCCCGATAAAGTCATCACACTGGGAGAAGAGGGCGAGACGGTGAGGAGACGCCACCATGAGCGACCAGAACGTCATCAAGGAGGGCTGGGTCCAGAAACGAGGTGAGACCGGCTTCTGTTGCGTTTGTGGTAACCGTATTGAATGGATGGATGGATGGATGTGTTTCTGCTGCTGGAAACCTGAAATTCTCCTACAGGGATCAATAAAGTATTTATCTATTTAAATAAATGGATAAATAAATGGATTGGTCTCATTATTCATAATAAACTGTGTTGTGAGGAAATAAAACTCTGGTCTATTTGCCGGTCTCTCTCTCTGGTCTCTCTGGTCTCTCTGGTCTCTCTCTCTGGTCTCTCTCTGGTCTCTTTGGTCTGTCTCTCTGGTCTCTCTCTCTGGTCTCTCTCTCTCTGGTCTCTCTCTCTGGTCTCTCTCTCGGGTCTCTCTCTCGGGTCTCTCTGGTCTCTCTCTCTGGTCTCTCTCTCGGGTCTCTCTCTCGGGTCTCTCTCTCGGGTCTCTCTCTCGGGTCTCTCTCTCGGGTCTCTCTCTCGGGTCTCTTTGGTCTGTCTCTCTGGTCTCTCTCTCTGGTCTCTCTCTCTGGTCTCTCTCTCTGGTCTCTCTCTCGGGTCTCTCTCTCGGGTCTCTCTCTCGGGTCTCTCTCTCGGGTCTCTCTCTCTGGTCTCTTTGGTCTGTCTCTCTGGTCTCTCTCTGGTGTCTCTAAAACTGTTTCGAGATATGAAAAGAATGTGTGAGGTGGAGAGACTGATTGGAGCGGTGTTGTGGTCGCTGTGTCGGACTATGAGGAAGCAGCGTCTCTAGTCAGAGCTTTATCAGACCTTTTGTGGTGAAGAGGGAGCAGCGTCTATAGTAGGGCTGAAACAACTAATCGATTAATCGACGACTAATCGATTATTGAAATAGTCGACAACTATTTTAGTAATCGATTAATCGTTTTCTGGTTCACACGGACTCAAACAGAGCAAAAATGACATGAAAATGTAGTATTTTTGATTAAAACCGACTTTGTTTTTATAATTTCATGAATATCTGTCTGTCTCATCCAATCAGAGCAGAATAAGCACAAAGAGCCTGTTACAAACATTTACTTTAAGTTTACGCCATCAATACGTCCTCGAGTGTTGCCACTTTAGCTTTTTGTGATGAAAAAATGTTTTCTAGACAATTCACAGCCAAGCGATTACTCGATTAATCGTAAAAATAATCGATAGATTAATTGATTACAAAATAATCGTTAGTTGCAGCTCTAGTCTATAGTCAGAGCTGTATTTTAGACCTTTGTGGTGAAGGAGCAGTGTCTATAGTCAGAGCTGTGTCGGACCGTTGTGAAGAGGGAGCAGCGTCTATGGTTGGAGCTTTATCAGACTGGTGGTGATGAGGGAGCAGCGTCTGTAGTCAGAGCTCTTTCTTGCTTGTGCTCATTTGGGTAATGACTGAAAAGGACGAGATTGTAGATATGACTGTTGGCTGAGCGCTCCTTTAAAGACGGCACGGTGGCTGAGTGGATAGCACTCTCGCCTCTCAGCAAGAAGGTCCTGGGTTCGAATCCCGGTCGGACCAGGGCCTTTCTGAGTGGAGTTTGCATGTTCTCCCCGTGTCTGCGTAGGTTTCCTCCGGGTACTCCGGTTTCCCCTACCACTAAAAATATGTACAATAGTTCTGGCATGTGCCTCCTGTACTGGCGACCCCGCTCCCATCTCTGTGTGGAGTGAGAGACAAATGCCACAAAATTAACAATTGTAAACCGCTTTGAGACTCAGATCTGCAGTGAAAAGGCGGTATATAAATAAAGATTACTACTACTACTACTACTACTAAAGATATGGGGAGAACCTCAGTCTCTGGTCTCTCTCTGGTCTCTCTCTGGTTTCTCTCTGGTCTCTCTCTGGTCTCTCTCTGGTCTCTCTCTGGTCTCTCTCTGGTTTCTCTCTGGTTTCTCTCTGGTCTCTCTCTGGTCTCTCTCTGGTCTCTGGTGTCTCTCTCTCTCTGGTCTCTCTCTGCTCTCTCTCTCTGGTCTCTCTCTGGTTTCTCTCTGGTCTCTGGTCTCTGGTCTCTCTCTCTGGTCTCTCTCTCTGGTCTCTCTCTCTGGTCTCTCTGGTTTCTCTCTGGTCTATCTGCCGGGTTATCCATTTATCCATCCAGCCCCTAAACTCGGGAACACTCTACCACTTGACCTGCGACCGTGACTTTTTTGACATTTTCAAATCACATCTCAAACAGGCTTATACTTTGTAATTCTAATAATGTTTTATATTCTGTACTTTTAATAATAATAATAATAATAATACATTTTGTTTATAATGCACCTTACATTTCCAGGACACCTCAAAGTGCTACTGATTAAAATACAAAGATACATGAAGCGTTAATAAAATCTCAATTAGGCCTGATTTTAAAAAAAAGTGTGTGATGTTTTTTAATGAATTTTAAGGCGTCCTGAAAGGCACCAAGAAACAAAATGAATTATTGATTATTATTTATCCATCTCTCCATTAGAATGGGCCGGGCTTAGGCTTAGAAAGATGCTGTGTGGGAATAATTCAATATGTTTATGATTGATACAAATATTTTTACCATTATCAGTTTTCAATCTTTTTGAAGACATAGAAAGCATTAAAAGGTGCAGTTAGCGATGTTGTTAGCTTAGCCGTAGCACCAACTGGAAACGACTCCCCCCTCCCCTCCCTCTCCACCAAACAAAACCTCCAGCGTTTTCTTTTCTTTGTCACAACAGGGAGAGTGGGCGGCAAACGTGAAATTGGCATTTTCTGTTCAGCCATTTTAGGTTTTAGAATCGCGAGAAACGGGAAGAGGATGAAGGGGGTAAACGCATCCCATTGGTTCGTTGTTATCGGTCCGCTCCGAAAGGTTTTTTTACTATTTGAAAACACATGATTACTTGACTACTTTTAGGGTTTAGGGACGTTTTCCCACAATATTTACAAAAATCCGTCTATAAAAAAATCACTGACTGCATCTTTAAATAGTCCCCAGTTTAAACATCATCCACTTTTAATGAAACAACTGCAGCTATTCTACAATTCAAATCTGTTTTAATCTTTTGGTTCAAGTGTGAATTAAAAACACGTCGTCAAAAAACTGTGTTGTGTTTTAGGAGAGTACATAAAAAACTGGCGACCGAGGTATTTTCTGCTGAAGACGGACGGTTCTTTCATCGGATACAAAGATAAACCGCAGGACTCGGACCTGGCCTATCCACTCAACAACTTCTCTGTAGCAAGTAAGAAACCCCCCCAGAAATGTTTTTGATTTAGGATTGTAAAGTATTAATCATGTTCCAGATTTGATTATTATTATTTGATTTATTACGAAAGGACAAAGAATACAAGATTTTTTTTATCAAGTTTGATTCAGTGTTTGCACCTGGGTTGGTGAATTTACCACTAAATAGTTTGATATGGTGTTGTGCGGAAGTAGAACTCTCTGGTCCCTGTTGGTCTCTCTTTGACCTCTCTTTGGCCTCTCTTTGGTCTCTCGCGCTGGTCTCTCTCTCTGGTCTCTCTCTGGTCTCCCTCTGGTCTCTCTCTGGTCTCTCTCTGGTCTCTCTGGCCTCTCTGATCTCTCTCTCTGGTCTCTCTCTCTCTGGTCTCTCTCTGGTCTCTCTCTCTCTGTTCTCTCTCTCTCTCTGGTCTCTCTCTGGTCTCTCTCTGGTCTCTCTGGCCTCTCTGATCTCTCTCTCTGGTCTCTCTCTCTCTGGTCTCTCTCTGGTCTCTCTCTCTCTGTTCTCTCTCTCTCTCTGGTCTCTCTCTGGTCTCTCTCTCTCTGGCCTCTCTGATCTCTCTCTCTGGTCTCTCTCTCTGGTCTCTCTGGCCTCTCTGATGTCTCTCTCTGGCCTCTCTGATGTCTCTCTCTGGCCTCTCTGATGTCTCTCTCTGGCCTCTCTGATGTCTCTCTCTGGCCTCTCTGATGTCTCTCTCTGGTCTCTCTCTCTCTGGTCTCTCTCTGGTCTCTCTCTGGTCTCTCTCTCTGGTCTCTCTCTGGTCTCTCTCTGGCCTCTTTGATCTCTCTCTCTGGTTTCTCTCTATGATCTCTCTCGGCCGTCTGTCTAAAAGGAGTTGCTCTCTGCCACTTTTATCTCTAAAAAAAGTAGCTCTCCCGGGACAAAGGTTGTAGACGCCTGACGTAGCAGGTCTAAGTTTGGTGTAGACCTCACCAAATGGCGTCCTGTCGTCTATACTGAGAAAAGCCTAAAACATTTTGTATTTTTTCCCGTGCACAGAATGTCAGCTGATGAAGACGGAGCGACCCAAACCCAACACGTTTATCATCCGCTGTCTGCAGTGGACCACGGTCATCGAGAGGACTTTCCACGTGGACACTCCGGACGAGAGGTGCGGCACAGGCTCCGCCCACATCCACCAGCTCCGTGTCTGCGGCTAAAAATACATGATGCTAACACAAGCCGCGGCTATTTATAACCGCGTCAAAAGTACAGCGTAGTTTCTTTGCAAAACTGTTTTGAGATGTGAAAAGAATGTGTGAGGTGGAGAGACTGATTGGAGCGGTGATGTGGTCGCTGTGTCGGACTATGAGGGAGCAGCGTCTCTAGTCAGAGCTTTATCAGACCTTTTGTGGTGAAGAGGGAGCAGCGTCTATAGTCAGAGCTGTATTTTAGACCTTTGTGGTGAAGAAGGAGCAGTGTCTATAGTCAGAGCTGTGTCGGACCGTTGTGAAGAGGGAGCAGCGTCTATGGTTGGAGCTTTATCAGACTGGTGGTGATGAGGGAGCAGCGTCTGTAGTCAGAGCTCCCTCTTGCCTGTGCTCATTTGGGTAATGACTGAAAAGGACGAGATTGTAGATATGACTGTTGGCTGAGCGCTCCTTTAAAGATATGGGGAGAACCTCAGTCTCATGGGAGGAGCTCGGAGTAGAGCCGCTGCTTCATCCAGAGGAGCCAGTTGAGGTGAATCGGCTTTGGGATACCTTCTGGACTATGTCTGTCAACTGGCCTGGGAACGCCTCTGGATGCGGGGAAGGGGAATCAATTTATAATTCAATTCATTTCAATTTGTGTAGTCGTGAATCACAACAGCGCTCGTCTCTGAGGACTTTACAAAGTTGGACATTCCCCAAAAGAGACAGAACCCAGGAAATGCAACAACAGACACTAGCCATTGGTCCATAGGGAGCAGCATGACCACTATCCAACAACAAAAAACAGTGGGGGAAGTGATAGATCGATTAGATGGATAGATAGTGTTATTACAGACTCGTAGTCCAGAAATAGACAAGACACAACACACTAGAAACAGACAATATAAAACAATAAAAAATCTCTTTAGACGAGGAAATTATTTTTTATTTTTGCCATTTGCGATAACGATTCATTACATTTGCCATTTGCAGTAAAACCACAGCGGAATACAGTCGCAAAGATCCCCAGTGTGCACCAGACCAGTGCATAAATAACACGATATCAAATCCCCTTTTAAAATGTAACAACATATTTAGATCGTCCTCTCCATCTCTCTGTGGAATATAAAACGTTCTGATCTGACGGAGCTGAGGCGGTTACTGCTGTGGTATTGATTCCCGGCGGTGCTGAGCTGCTGTGGTGTGATGTCGGTAGGAAACGAGCCGTGTCCGTGGGGTGAGCTCAGGGCTGAGGCTGGATAAAGACAGGAAGTGAGGCGTGGGTTCAGTTCCCAAACACATTTATGTCTGCGCCGTATTGTGACCTGTTGACACAAACGCTCATAACATCCGCGAGGCCACAGCCAGAAGCCGACGGCAGGGACTGAGAAGGTGTGGTTACGTGGCGTCGGCTTGTACAGCGGGTTCCAGTGACGCAACATAAAGGACATATAGATTCAATTAATTTTATTTTTGTAATGGGTCTAAGTCACAACAGCAGTTCTCTCAGAGGACTTTACAAAGATGTAGATTTACAAAGTCATAGGTCAGAGAATAAAAACAGTTTAAATACAGGAAATGCAATTATAAAGATGGCTGTAGATCCAGGACTGAGGCTGTAGATCCAGGACTGAGGCTGTAGATCCAGGACTGAGGCTGTAGATCCAGGACTGAGGCTGTAGATCCAGGACTGAGGCTGTAGATCCAGGACTGAGGCTGTAGATCCAGGACTGAGGCTGTAGACCCAGGACTGAGGCTGTAGACCCAGGACTGAGGCTGTAGATCCAGGTCTGAGGCTGTAGACCCAGGACTGAGGCTGTAGATCCAGGACTGAAGCTGTAGATCCAGGACTGAGGCTGTAGATCCAGGACTGAGGCTGTAGATCCAGGACTGAGGCTGTAGACCCAGGACTGAAGCTGTAGATCCAGGACTGAGACTGTAGACCCAGGACTGAGACTGTAGACCCAGGACTGAGGCTGTAGACCCAGGACTGAGGCTGTAGACCCAGGACTGAGGCTGTAGACCCAGGACTGAGGCTGTAGACCCAGGACTGAGGCTGTAGACCCAGGACTGAGGCTGTAGACCCAGGACTGAGGCTGTAGACCCAGGACTGAGGCTGTAGACCCAGGACTGAGGCTGTAGACCCAGGACTGAGGCTGTAGACCCAGGACTGAGGCTGTAGACCCAGGACTGAGGCTGTAGACCCAGGACTGAGGCTGTAGACCCAGGACTGAGGCTGTAGACCCAGGACTGAGGCTGTAGACCCAGGACTGAGGCTGTAGACCCAGGACTGAGGCTGTAGACCCAGGACTGAGGCTGTAGACCCAGGACTGAGGCTGTAGACCCAGGACTGAGGCTGTAGACCCAGGACTGAGGCTGTAGACCCAGGACTGAGACTGTAGACCCAGGACTGAGACTGTAGACCCAGGACTGAGACTGTAGACCCAGGACTGAGACTGTAGACCCAGGACTGAGACTGTAGACCCAGGACTGAGACTGTAGACCCAGGACTGAGGCTGTAGGTCCGGGACTGAGGCTGTAGGTCCGGGACCCGGGGCTGAGGCTGCAGGTCCGGGACTGATTATATTTGCACATTTAAACCTGCTATATTGATCTTGTTAATTAAAGAAACAAGCTATAGTATTCCCAATTCCCAAATTATTTTGCGGTGATTCACTTGCGCGCCGTCACAGGGGTCATATTGTATTTTTATTGTATTTAAAAACCTGGTCTCTTTCCCGTGTCTTTTCCAGGGACGAGTGGGCGGAGGCGATCACGATGGTGGCCGAGTCTTTGGCGAAACAGGAGGAAGAGGGAATCCTGTGCAGCCCGTCGTCACAGATCGAAAACGTCAACGAGGAGGAGATGGACACGACCATCAGCCACTACAAGAGGAAGGTCTGTGCGCCACTTAAAGCTACGATACTAGACTTTTAAACCACAAGAGAAGGACGTATTGTACTTTCTGGACTATAAGCCGCACCTGCATATAAGGCGCACCTGCTCAGTTTGAAAACACTGTATATTTTGTCACATATAGGCCGCACTTGCGTATAAGCCATAGGTTTTCATGTTGTTGTAACCAGTTGAAAACTGTCTTCAGCGTAATAAAGACACATCTCTAGCTTCTATAATCTCTAGCTTTGGCATAATCTAGAAGAAAGTATAAATTATCTAGCTTTAGCATACAATAAAGTGCCCTATAGCTACTAAAACTTTAAGGTCCATAAACTCTGCTCTACCGCAATAAAAATACACATATTAGCCTCATTGCTATATAAGCCGCAGGGTTCAAAGAGCTAGAAAAAAAAAAGTAGTTTTAAACATACACACTTTTTTTGAGATTTTGGTAAAACCTAATCCGTTTTTTCAATATTGCAGACAATGAACGACTTTGACTATCTGAAGCTGCTGGGGAAAGGCACGTTTGGGAAAGTGATCCTGGTGCGAGAGAAGGCCAGCGGGACGTACTACGCTATGAAAATACTCAAGAAGGAGGTCATCATCGCCAAGGTAACGATGGAAGTTTTCAGCCATGTTTACAACATCGATCATCAAACAGACCAAGAGTTGTTTTTTCCCCCAAATTTATTTTTGTACTGCCCTAAACCACAACAGTAGTTATCTTTAGGGACTTGATAAAAATGTTGATTAAATGTTGAAAATGCAATGATAAAAATAACACATGGAGATATTGCTCCATAAGGGGCAGAGATCTATGCATCAAGAGAGAGAGCAGAGAGAGCAGAGAGAGCAGAGAGAGCAGAGAGGGGGAGAGAGAGCAGAGAGCAGAGAGAGAAGAGAGCAGAGAGAGAAGAGAGCAGAGAGAGAAGAGAGCAGAGAGAGAAGAGAGCGGAGAGAGAGCAGAGAGAGCAGAGAGGGGATGAGAGAGCAGAGAGAGAGGAGGAGAGAGGGAGAGAGAGAGGAGAGAGAGAGAGAGAGAGGGGGAGAGAGCAGAGAGGGGGGAGAGAGAGCAGAGAGGGGAGGAGAGAGAGCAGAGAGGGGAGGAGAGAGAGCAGAGAGGGGAGGAGAGAGAGCAGAGAGGGGAGAGAGAGAGCAGGGAGGGGGGAGAGAGAGCAGAGAGGGGAGGAGAGAGAGCAGAGAGGGGAGAGAGAGCAGAGAGGGAGGAGAGAGAGCAGAGAGAGGGAGGAGAGAGAGAGCAGAGAGGGGAGGAGAGAGAGCAGAGAGGGGAGAGAGAGAGAGAGAGCAGGGAGGAGAGAGAGAGAGGGGGGGAGAAGAGAGAGCAGAGAGGGGAGAGAGAGAGAGGCAGAGAGAGAGAGGAGAGAGAGAGCAGAGGAGAGAGAGAGGAGAGGAGAGGAGAGAGAGAGAGCAGAGAGGGGAGAGGAGAGAGAGCAGAAGAAGAGGTTCATGTGAGGATGTCGTGCGCCTGCTGCTCCACCAACATGGCCATGTTCTTCACATCCCCACACCAGAAGTCCAGACGCTCCTTCATCCCCTTCACCTGCAACACAGCACATTTATCTATATGGCACAGGAGAGAGAGAGAGAGAGAGAGGGGAGAGAGCTGATGAGAGAGAGAGAGGTGAGAGAGGAGGAGAGAGAGGGGCGGAGAGAGAGGGGAGGAGAGACGGAGAGGAGAGAGAGAGACGTGAGAGAGAGAGAGAGAGAGAGAGAGAGGGGAGAGAGAGAGAGGGGTGAGAGAGAGAGGGAGAGTGGATGAGAGAGCGGGGAGGAGGTGAAGGAGAGGGGAGAGGTGAGAGGAGAGATGAGAGAGAGGGGAGAGAGAGAGAGGGTAGAGAGAGAGAGAGAGAGAGGTGAGGAGAGAGAGGGGAGAGCAGGTCGGAGGAGAGAGGGGGAGAGACGAGAGCGGAGCGGGAGAGAGAGGGAGAGAGAGAGAGAGGGGAGAGAGAGAGAGCGGGAGAGGAGAGAGAGGAGAGGGTAGAGAGAGAGGGGAGAGAGAGAGAGGGGAGAGAGAGAGGAGGGAGGAGGAGGAGAGAGGGAGGGAGAGAGGATGAGAGAGAGAGAGAGAAGGAGAGAGAGAGAGAGGAGAGAGGGAGAGGGAGATGAGAGAGAGGGGAGAGAGAGAGAGAGGGAGAGGGGAGAGAGTGGAGTGGGGGGAGAGAGGAGAGAGAGAGGCGAGAGAGAGGAGGGAGGGGAGAGAGAGAGGGGAGAGAGAGAGAGAGAGAGAGAGAGAGAGAGAGAGAGAGAGAGGAGGAGAGAGAGAAGAGAGAGGGGAGAGAGAGAGAGAGGAGAGAGAGAGAGAGGCGTGAGGGAGAGAGAGAGAGAGGGGAGGGAGAGAGGAGAGGAGTGAGGACGGAGGGGGAGAGAGAGAGGGGGAGGAGAGGAGAGAGAGGAGAGAGAGAGGGAGCGGAGAGAGAGAGAAAGAGAGGGGAGAGAGAGAGAGGAGAGGGGAGGAGGAGAGGATGAGAGAGGGGAGAGAGAGAGAGGGGAGAGAGAGAGAGAGATGGAGAGAGCGAGATGGGGAGGAGAGAGAGAGGAGAGGGAGAGAGAGAGAGAGGAGAGAGGGGAGAGAGAGAGAGGGGAGGAGAGAGAGAGGCTGAGGGGAGAGCGAGGGGAGAGAGAGAGAGGAGAGGGGAGAGAGAGAGAGAGAGAGAGGTGAGGGGGAGGAGAGGGAGACGAGGTGAGGGGGAGAGAGAGAGAGGAGAGGGGGGAGAGAGAGAGTGAGAGAGAGAGAGGAGAGGGGGGAGGAGAGAGGAGAGGAGAGAGAGAGGGTGAGAGAGAGAAGAGAGGAGAGAGAGGAGAGAGAGGAGAGAGAGAGAGAGGGGAGAGAGAGAAGAGAGGAGAGAGAGAGAGAGGGGAGAGAGAGAAGAGAGGAGAGAGACACATGGACAGACCTGCTGCAGGTCCAGGACTCTCGGTTGGACCCAGGTCATCTGGACTTTCTGATCCACTTCATCAATGTTTCCTTTTATCAGCCCCACAGACAGAGCCTTCATCACCAGCAACTCCACCTGCAGACACCAGGTGGCAGTGAGACACCAGGTGACACTGAGACACCAGGTGACACTGAGACACCAGGTGACACTGAGACACCAGGTGGCACTGAGACACCAGGTGACACTGAGACACCAGGTGGCACTGAGACACCAGGTGACACTGAGACACCAGGTGGCACTGAGACACCAGGTGACACTGAGACACCAGGTGACACAGAGACACCAGGTGGCACTGAGACACCAGGTGACACTGAGACACCAGGTGACACGGAGACACCAGGTGACACTGAGACACCAGGTGACACAGACTAAAGCTGGGGATAAAACCTCTGACCTCGCTGACAGGGACCTTGGCGCTCTGGGAGATCTCTGTGAAGGTCAGCTGTCTGTGATTGGCCGGCCGAGTGAACGTCATCTGGAAACATACTTTATCTGATTTATCTGTTCACAGTCAGGCCACAACAATCAGAGATGAGAATTATAATTATAAATATGATAACCCAGACAGGGCTGTGATGATTATCATCATTATCATATTATTATTATGATAATAACACTCACCTCCATCACACACAGCAGCTGAATCTTCTGCATCAGTTTAGCTTCGTGCGTTGCCAGATCAGGCTGGAAACAAAACACATTGTGTTGTTCTTGGAGAGTACATTGTTATTCCATTTATTTATAAAGCACTTGGTTATTGTTCAACTCTGGCTCAAATTCAAAACAATCTCAAACATTCAAACTTATACCTCTTTCATGTTTGAATTCATTCATTCATTTACATGTATGAGTCTGTTTTAATCTTAATCTTGATTATTGTGTTTTGGCTTATGTGTTTTCATCAACACAAAAATGGCCGCTCATCTCCTGGCAGGCTGAGACAGCACAAAGATGGCCGCTCATCTCCTGGCAGGCTGAGACAGCACAAAGATGGCCGCTCATCTCCTGGCAGGCTGAGACAGCACAAAGATGGCCGCTCATCTCCTGGCAGACTGAGACAGCACAAAGATGGCCGCTCATCTCCTGGCAGGCTGAGACAGCACAAAGATGGCCGCTCACCTGCTGGCAGACTGAGACAGCACAAAGATGGCCGCTCACCTGCTGGCAGACTGAGACAGCACAAAGATGGCCGCTCACCTGCTGGCAGACTGAGACAGCACAAAGATGGCCGCTCACCTGCTGGCCCCACGCAGACTTGTAGCCCTGGAACTTGTCCACGTTGCCGGCGTTGAAGGCAAAGAGCGTGTCGATGAGCCACTGTTTATCTGTGCTGCGGAGGGACTCCAGGACCGGGTGCTGCAGCTGAGGGGTCAGAGGTCATGCATAGGGTCACTAACAGTTGGACATCTGTTATGCAGAGCATTCCCTATACCTGCACCTACTTAAAGGCACACCGCGGACTTTGTGACCTAAAGAGTTGACACATATGAGTTATTTTATATGAATACTTGGGCCAATATACAGCGCTTGACACTTGCAATGCTCCGAGCGGGGCTGCCCTCTTGAAATACCGCCCATGTAAGTTTAGAGCAGACGCACCGTCGTTTACCAGGTCACGTGACTTGGAAGAAAGATTTGCTTTACGGCTACAGGCGCTGATATACTCATGGAGCTAAGGCTTTTGCTACTCATTTTTCACCTGCTCGACTCCTGGTCATGGCTGAGGCAAGGAAAAAGTTTAAACCTTCGGAGGAGGCTAAAAAGAGGAAACGCGAAAGGGATCGTGCTCGAGGAAAAACAAGGGTCGATCTGGGAAAGGAGTTTGCTCGTTGGCGCAGGTTGAAAGAAGAAGCTGGATGTAAATCTGATTCTGTTTTTTCAACTTCGTTATTAGACTGGTAAGTGAAGTCTTTGCTCCTAGTATACAGTAAAGTTTCTTTATTCAGCGGATGTCTTCTTTTCTTCAATCGTGAGTCAATGAGCCCTCTTCAACCAACAGGTCCACTACTGTCTGAATACACACTCAAAAGACACCGGCTGACTGTTTGTTGACTTTTGCGACAGTGCTGAGTTGCTTGTGGCCACTAGGGGCGCTAAACGTGAAAGTTGCAGGTCTAGCGCCCCTAGTGGCCAAGAGTTACACGGTGTGCCTATAAGTATTATGGGAGAAAGCAGCTTCTCCTACTTTGTTTTCTACAAAGAACAAATATAAAGTCTGAACCCTCACGCGGCGCTTACTGTGGCCACGTGACGTCACATGACCTACGCAAGGATCACTGTAAGACCCTCGAAAACGTCTAACTACGCAGCAGCGGAGAAGCTCTGCTGTAATTGGTCCATGTGAGAGAAAGTCCGCTGTGATTGGTCCGTGTGTGAGAAGGTCCGCTGTAATTGGTCCATGTGAGAGAAAGTCCGCTGTGATTGGTCCGTGTGTGAGAAGGTCCGCTGTAATTGGTCCATGTGAGAGAAAGTCCGCTGTGATTGGTCCGTGTGTGAGAAGGTCCTCTGTGATTGGTCCGTGTGTGAGAAGGTCCTCTGTGATTGGTCCGTGTGTGAGAAGGTCCGCTGTGATTGGTCCGTGTGTGAGAAGGTCCGCTGTGATTGGTCCGTGTGTGAGAAGGTCCGCTGTGATTGGTCCGTGTGTGAGAAGGTCCGCTGTGATTGGTCCGTGTGTAAAGGTGCTTTCAGACCGGATCATGTGTTGCGTCTGCTTTCAATGCAAAGTCAAAGCACGGACTGTTCAGTAGAGACACACGGACTTGGCGGGAAAGTCAAAAGGGAGGAGCAGGAGCGGAAAATGGACGCCCACAGGAGATGGATTCTGCTCATCCTTTCCTTGGGACGTTCGTGCAGCAACCAATCAGAGAGCAGCAAAGTGGTCACGGGGACATTAAGCTCACACGAGACGATTTTAAAATTGTCGGCCGATTTTTTCCTCCGTGTGAGACCCCACACACTTGCTAAATTATGATATGGAGGTGAGTTGTTTTTGTACGATTGCTACATGCTGCAGCCATGGCAACGCGCTCGTCTGATATACAGTCTATGGTCTGTCCTCGGGGGACACCACATACTGCTGTTATATAAAGTCACCTCCGTGAACACATACTACTGTTATATAAAGTCACCTCCGTGAACACATACTGCTGTTATATAAAGTCACCTCCGTGAACACATACTACTGTTATATAAAGTCACCTCCGTGAACACATACTACTGTTATATAAAGTCTCCTCCGTGAACACATACTGCTGTTATATAAAGTCTCCTCCGTGAACACATACTGCTGTTATATAAAGTCACCTCCGTGAACACATACTACAGTTATATAAAGTCACCTCCGTGAACACATACTGCTGTTATATAAAGTCACCTCTGTGAACACATACTGCTGTTATATAAAGTCACCTCCGTGAACACATACTACAGTTATATAAAGTCACCTCCGTGAACACATACTGCTGTTATATAAAGTCACCTCCGTGAACACATACTGCTGTTATATAAAGTCACCTCCGTGAACACATACTGCTGTTATATAAAGTCACCTCCGTGAACACATACTGCTGTTATATAAAGTCACCTCCGTGAACACATACTGCTGTTATATAAAGTCACCTCCGTGAACACATACTGCTGTTATATAAAGTCACCGTGAACACATACTGCTGTTATATAAAGTCACCTCCGTGAACACATACTACTGTTATATAAAGTCACCTCCGTGAACACATACTGCTGTTATATAAAGTCACCTCCGTGAACACATACTGCTGTTATATAAAGTCACCTCCGTGAACACATACTACTGTTATATAAAGTCACCTCTTTGAACACATACTGCTGTTATATAAAGTCACCTCCGTGAACACATACTGCTGTTATATAAAGTCACCTCTGTGAACACATACTGCTGTTATATAAAGTCACCGTGAACACATACTGCTGTTATATAAAGTCACCTCCGTGAACACATACTGCTGTTATATAAAGTCACCTCCGTGAACACGTACTGCTGTTATATAAAGTCACCTCTGTGAACACATACTGCTGTTATATAAAGTCACCTCTGTGAACACATACTGCTGTTATATAAAGTCACCTCTGTGAACACATACTGCTGTTATATAAAGTCACCTCTGTGAACACATACTGCTGTTATATAAAGTCACCTCTGTGAACACATACTGCTGTTATATAAAGTCACCTCTGTGAACACATACTGCTGTTATATAAAGTCACCTCCGTGAACACATACTGCTGTTATATAAAGTCACCTCCGTGAACACATACTGCTGTTATATAAAGTCACCGTGAACACATACTGCTGTTATATAAAGTCACCTCCGTGAACACATACTGCTGTTATATAAAGTCACCTCTGTGAACACATACTGCTGTTATATAAAGTCACCTCTGTGAACACATATCTGCTGTTATATAAAGTCACCTCTGTGAACACATACTGCTGTTATATAAAGTCACCTCCGTGAACACATACTGCTGTTATATAAAGTCACCTCCGTGAACACATACTGCTGTTATATAAAGTCACCTCCGTGAACACATACTGCTGTTATATAAAGTCACCTCCGTGAACACATACTGCTGTTATATAAAGTCACCGTGAACACATACTGCTGTTATATAAAGTCACCGTGAACACATACTGCTGTTATATAAAGTCACCTCCGTGAACACATACTACTGTTATATAAAGTCACCTCCGTGAACACATACTGCTGTTATATAAAGTCACCTCCGTGAACACATACTGCTGTTATATAAAGTCACCTCCGTGAACACATACTGCTGTTATATAAAGTCACCTCCGTGAACACATATTGCTGTTATATAAAGTCTGTGAAGGTCTCAGACGCAGACACGCTGCAGAGCTGCACATTGGAGAAGATCTGTGCACAAGAAGCTGCTAGCTAAACTCTGTTAGCATCAGAGCCGGCTACTTCCAGTACTTCCGGCTCGCGTCAGGACGTTCTGGTGTGAAGTCCTCTGCATCTGAAAACTAGAGAATGCACGTCTGGTGAGCGGAGCTTCAGCGATGGCGGTCTGATTGCACCATAAGAGAGGTCCACTGGGATTGGTCCGTGTGTGAGAGAAGCTCCGCTGTGATTGGATCTATTATAATAACTGGATAGGGTATTACTAGCTTGTAGCTGAAGAACTCATGTGCTCGGGGGATTCTGGCGGTACTGCAGACTAGACCAGACTAAATTCACGTGGGCTACCCAGAGATGTTCCCCTTAGAACTCAATGTAAACTAAAACAGCCCTCAGCTGACAGAGAACCTGACAGAGAACCTGACAGAGAACCTACAGCTTTCATAAAGGTCAGATTTTGTGGGGATTTTAGTGTCCCTTGTCGTCCTGAACTTTTTGTCTTCTTAAATCCTTCGGTTTTGTTTAACCCTTCAAGGTCTAAGCTCATTTTGGGGAACTTTCCTCGCCTGGTTTTCTTTGTGTATAATTGCTCATAAAACAGTCATCTTGTGATGCAGAGTCAAGCAGTATACTTTGTTTTTTTCAGTACAACCTGTGGATTTATAATATTCATAGTGTACAGCTGTCATATGAATTGTATAAAAAATATGGAATCATGAAGACAAAGAAAAAAATGAAACGGAAATTCAATTTCACCAAAATGTTTTGAAAAACACAATGAAATGTTATTGCTAACTTTTTACACTGTATAGAAATGTTATTTAGGGTCTTGGGGTTGATGGGGGAAAAAATTGAACCTGTGACTATTATAATTTTTTACAAAATTCCACTACAAGTGAAAAAAACGTTGTACTCCTGATGCCCTTCCTGAAGCAGTTTGTCTATGTCTATATATTGCTTCAGTATCACAGCTGTAAGATATGCAAAACAAAAAAACTAAGAAAACAAAGAAAGAAAAACAACATCTTATATTTATATACATCATATACACATCATATCATTATACTGTATTTATCGATGTCAATAATAAATATATAATATAATTACATCAATAATGCGCACTCTTCAGCCCGGTGCTGGCTCTTGTGAGCGCTGCATCTGCGTCTCCTCCTATCTTTGTGTAATGCACTTTCAAGCCCAGACTCTGAACACACACATCACTCGTAGATCACGTAGATCAGTGATCGAAAGCTACATTAGCTGTGTCGGGGACGCATTTTCGTAACATTCCGCTAAAATAATGCGTCTTTTACGCATCAGTAATTGCAATTGCAGCTGTAATTTCAACTATGGGACGATAAATACACACAGGAGAGTGAATCATCTTACTCTCTGACAATCTTTGGCAGTCCCTGTGTCAGCGTGTAAGCAAAATAACTTTACTGTTTTGGCTGTTTTACCTCACGGGAGACCGCTCAAAGATCCGATTGGACACCGACTTTCAAACACACGTAGAAAATCCCCCAAAAGTCACACAGACAAAACAAAACAAGCGCTGTAATGCCTGAAAAGTAAGTCGCTACGTTTTGCTGTTCATGAGAAAATTGAACATTTATAAAACATGTGCGCAGGCATCAGATCCGATGCTCTAGACCCCAGAGGGTTAAATCCACACTTTAGTGCCACAAACTCTGCTCGTCTGGCTCTCGCTCTAACTCCCGCTCTGATGAACTGCTCTGATTAGTCAGAACGCTGCCCTCTGATTGGTCAGAGGCCGAGCCCCTCTGTGCACGTGCATGACAGCCACAATCATGTATTTGGCGCAAAGCATCATGGGAGATCATCCACTGAGAGTTTCTCATGGATCTTTGAGATTTTCCCATGGATCTGGACAGGAGTGACCTCAGCAGGACTGGACTGACCTCAGCAGAGCAGGACTGACCTCAGCGGGACTGGACTGACCTCAGCAGAGCAGGACTGACCTCAGCGGGACTGGACTGACCTCAGCAGAGCAGGACTGACCTCAGCGGGACTGGACTGACCTCAGCAGAGCAGGACTGACCTCAGCGGGACTGGACTGACCTCAGCAGAGCAGGACTGACCTCAGCGGGACTGGACTGACCTCAGCAGAGCAGGACTGACCTCAGCGGGACTGGACTGACCTCAGCAGAGCAGGACTGACCTCAGCGGGACTGGACTGACCTCAGCGGGACTGGACTGACCTCAGCAGGACTGACCTCAGCAGAGCAGGACTGACCTCAGCGGGACTGGACTGACCTCAGCAGGACTGACCTCAGCAGGACTGACCTCAGCAGGAGAGGACTCACCAGTTCTCCAAAGTTATACACTCCTTCTCCCAGAAGTCCAGCCAGCCCCAGGGTGAAGGCCCTCTCCTGCTTCTCCGAGTCTGAAACGCAAGCCATTAGTGTCTACAGGGGGAGACAGGGGAGAGACCAGGGGAGAGACCAGGGGAGAGACCAGGGGGAGAGACCAGAGGGAGAGACCAGAGGGAGAGACCAGAGGGAGAGACCAGAGGGAGAGACCAGAGGGAGAGACCACAGGGAGACCAGGATGATGTCTCACCTGGTAGGTCTCTGATGTCTCTGATGTCAGATCTCTGATGTCTCACCTGGTAGGTCTCTGATGTCTCACCTGGTAGGTCTCTGATGTCTCACCTGGTAGGTCTCTGATGTCCACGCAGCCCAGGTAGCGCAGGGCGTCCTTGTAGTAGTGGGCGTGGTTGCCCATGATGCGGTGGTATTTGCTGGACAGGTCGTAGAAGCGGCCGTGCACCGACGTCACTCCAGGAAGGTTGTTCAGGGTCTCCTCCACCTCCTCAATCAGCTTCTGAAGACACACGCACACATGGTCCTCACACACACGGTCCTCACACACGCACAGAGACACACACAGGCCACAGGTGTGTGTCTGTGCGTGTTTGTGAGTGTCTCTGTATGTGTGTGTGTACCTTAGTAGCTGGCAGGTCGTTGATCTCCATCTTCAGACTCCCAATGGATGTTTTACACAGAATCACAGCCTCATCACAGCTCTTCACCTGAAACCACAACACGGCCTCAGTCCCGGGTCTGCGGCCTCAGTCCCGGGTCTGCGGCCTCAGTCCGGGTCTGCGGCCTCAGTCCCGGGTCTGCGGCCTCAGTCCCGGGTCTGCGGCCTCAGTCCCCTGCGGCCTCAGTCCGGTCTGCGGCCTCAGTCCCGGGTCTGCGGCCTCAGTCCCGGGTCTGCGGCCTCAGTCCCGGGTCTGCGGCCTCAGTCCCGGGTCTGCGGCCTCAGTCCCGGGTCTGCGGCCTCAGTCCCGGGTCTGCGGCCTCACTCCTGGGTATACCTTCTCTTTGGTTTTCTCCAGAAACGTGATGGCGTCTTTGGGATCTGCAACAGAGGAACACTTTATAGAATATAGACTCATGTGTGAGCTGTCACTACAGGGAGTCACATCACAGAGACAGACAGAGAGGGAGGGAGGGGGAGAAAGAAACCAGAGAGAGAAGGAGGGAGGGGAAAACCAGAGAGAGAAGGAGGGAGGGGGAAACCAGAGAGAGAAGGAGGGAGGGGAAAACCAGAGAGAGAAGGAGGGAGGGGGAAACCAGAGAGAGAAGGAGGGAGGGGGAAACCAGAGAGAGAAGGAGGGAGGGGGAGAGAGGGAGGGAGAAACCAGAGAGACAGAGGCAGAGACAGACAGAGAGACAGTCAGGTACTGACCTGTAATCTGTCGAGCCACAAACAGGATGATCTCCATCAGTGATAAAGGGTTGATTCTGAAAATGGGATGTTTTAAAAAAAAAAAGTTTCAAACGATGAAAAATGAACAAATAAATGTTTTACCTGTGTTCGAAGTCACTGAGGAAGTTATCGTAGAGCTGCAAAAACATGTGACAGAGAGAGGCGTGTTCACATGTTCTGTAGTAACTGTTGTTTACATTAGTCACATGTTCTATAGTAACTGTTGTATACATTAGTCACATGTTCTATAGTAACTGTTGTATACATTAGTCACATGTTCTATAGTAACTGTTGTTTACATTAGTCACATGTTCTATAGTAACTGTTGTTTACATTAGTCACATGTTCTATAGTAACTGTTGTATACATTAGTCACATGTTCTATAGTAACTGTTGTATACATTAGTCACATGTTCTATAGTAACTGTTGTATACATTAGTCACATGTTCTATAGTAACTGTTGTATACATTAGTCACATGTTCTATAGTAACTGTTGTATACATTAGTCACATGTTCTATAGTAACTGTTGTATACATTAGTCACATGTTCTATAGTAACTGTTGTATACATTAGTCACATGTTCTATAGTAACTGTTGTATACATTAGTCACATGTTCTATAGTAACTGTTGTATACATTAGTCACATGTTCTATAGTAACTGTTGTTTACATTAGTCACATGTTCTATAGTAACTGTTGTATACATTAGTCACATGTTCTATAGTAACTGTTGTATACATTAGTCACAGGTTCTATAGTAACTGTTGTTTACATTACTCACATGTTCTATAGTAACTGTTGTATACATTAGTCACATGTTCTATAGTAACTGTTGTATACATTAGTCACATGTTCTATAGTAACTGTTGTATACATTAGTCACATGTTCTATAGTAACTGTTGTATACATTAGTCACATGTTCTATAGTAACTGTTGTATACATTAGTCACATGTTCTATAATAACTGTTGTATACATTAGTCACATGTTCTATAGTAACTGTTGTATACATTAGTCACATGTCCTATAGTAACTGTTGTTTACATTAGTCACATGTTCTATAGTAACTGTTGTTTACATTAGTCACATGTTCTATAGTAACTGTTGTATACATTAGTCACATGTTCTATAGTAACTGTTGTATACATTAGTCACATGTTCTATAGTAACTGTTGTTTACATTAGTCACATGTCCTATAGTAACTGTTGTTTACATTAGTCACATGTTCTATAGTAACTGTTTACATTAGTCACATGTTCTATAGTAACTGTTGTATACATTAGTCACATGTCCTATAGTAACTGTTGTTTACATTAGTCACATGTTCTATAGTAACTGTTGTATACATTAGTCACATGTTCTATAGTAACTGTTGTATACATTAGTCACATGTTCTATAGTAACTGTTGTTTACATTAGTCACATGTTCTATAGTAACTGTTGTATACATTAGTCACATGTTCTATAGTAACTGTTGTATACATTAGTCACATGTTCTATAGTAACTGTTGTGTACATGAGTCACATGTTCTATAGTAACTGTTGTATACATTAGTCACATGTTCTATAGTAACTGTTGTATACATTAGTCACATGTTCTATAGTAACTGTTGTATACATTAGTCACATGTTCTATAGTAACTGTTGTATACATTAGTCACATGTTCTATAGTAACTGTTGTGTACATGAGTCACATGTTCTATAGTAACTGTTGTATACATTAGTCACATGTTCTATAGTAACTGTTGTATACATTAGTCACATGTTCTATAGTAACTGTTGTTTACATTAGTCACATGTTCTATAGTAACTGTTGTATACATTAGTCACATGTCCTATAGTAACTGTTGTTTACATTAGTCACATGTTCTATAGTAACTGTTGTATACATTAGTCACATGTTCTATAGTAACTGTTGTATACATTAGTCACATGTTCTATAGTAACTGTTGTTTACATTAGTCACATGTTCTATAGTAACTGTTGTATACATTAGTCACATGTTCTATAGTAACTGTTGTATACATTAGTCACATGTTCTATAGTAACTGTTGTGTACATGAGTCACATGTTCTATAGTAACTGTTGTATACATTAGTCACATGTTCTATAGTAACTGTTGTATACATTAGTCACATGTTCTATAGTAACTGTTGTATACATTAGTCACATGTTCTATAGTAACTGTTGTTACCCTCCCTGTCTCCCCCCCTCCCTCAGTAAGTCCTCAGACCTGCACAAGTCCATCTCCGGTCTGGAAACAAGGATCTTTGACAAAGTCTGTGATCTTCAGTGTGAGCTGGTGCCACAACCTGCAACAGAGAGAACACATAAATATCCATCCCCCTTTCACAGGACCCTCCTCACTCAGCCAATCAGCTCGAAGCCCACAGTCTAGTCCACAGTCTAGTCCACAGAAGAAGCTGAAAAAATAATATTAGTCACCCTTCATCTCATTAGCAGCAAATGGACCCTGTGGATCCTACACTAACAGAACCTGTGGATCCTATAATAACAGAACCTTCGGATCCTACACTAACAGAACCTGTGGATCCTACACTAACAGAACCTGTGGATCCTATAATAACAGAACCTTCGGATCCTACACTAACAGAACCTGTGGATCCTACACTAACAGAACCTGTGGATCCTATAATAACAGAACCTTCGGATCCTACACTAACAGAACCTGTGGATCTTACACTAACAGAACCTGTGGATCCTACACTAACAGAACCTTCGGATCCTACACTAACAGAACCTTCGGATCCTACACTAACAGAACCTTCGGATCCTACACTAACAGAACCTTCGGATCCTACACTAACAGAACCTTCGGATCCTACACTAATAGAATCTGTGGATCCTATAATAACAGAACCTGTGGACCCTACACTAACAGAACCTGTGGATCCTACACTAACAGAACCTGTGGACCCTACACTAACAGAACCTGTGGACCCTACACTAACAGATCCTGTGGATCCTACACTAACAGATCCTGTGGACCCTACACTAACAGATTCTGTGGATCCTACACTAACAGAACCTGTGGATCCTACACTAACAGAACCTGTGGATCCTACACTAACAGAACCTGTGGATCCTACACTAACAGAACCTGTGGACCCTACACTAACAGAACCTGTGGATCCTACACTAACAGAACCTGTGGATCCTACACTAACAGAACCTGTGGATCCTACACTAACAGAACCTGTGGATCCTACACTAACAGAACCTGTGGACCCTACACTAACAGAACCTGTGGACCCTACACTAACAGAACCTGTGGATCCTACACTAACAGAACCTGTGGATCCTACACTAACAGAACCTGTGGATCCTACACTAACAGAACCTGTGGATCCTACACTAACAGATCCTGTGGATCCTACACTAACAGAACCTGTGGATCCTACACTAACAGATCCTGTGGATCCTACACTAACAGAACCTGTGGATCCTACACTAACAGAACCTGTGGATCCTACACTAACAGATCCTGTGGATCCTACACTAACAGATCCTGTGGATCCTACACTAACAGATCCTGTGGATCCTACACTAACAGATCCTGTGGATCCTACACTAACAGATCCTGTGGATCCTACACTAACAGATCCTGTGGATCCTACACTAACAGAACCTGTGGATCCTACACTAACAGATCCTGTGGATCCTACACTAACAGATCCTGTGGATCCTACACTAACAGATCCTGTGGATCCTACACTAACAGAATCTGTGGATCCTACACTAACAGATCCTGTGGATCCTACACTAACAGATCCTGTGGATCCTACACTAACAGAACCTGTGGACCCTACACTAACAGATCCTGTGGATCCTACACTAACAGAACCTGTGGATCCTACACTAACAGAACCTGTGGATCCTACACTAACAGAACCTGTGGATCCTACACTAACAGATCCTGTGGACCCTACACTAACAGAACCTGTGGATCCTACACTAACAGATCCTGTGGATCCTACACTAACAGATCCTGTGGACCCTACACTAACAGATCCTGTGGATCCTACACTAACAGAACCTGTGGATCCTACACTAACAGATCCTGTGGACCCTACACTAACAGATCCTGTGGACCCTACACTAACAGATCCTGTGGATCCTACACTAACAGATCCTGTGGACCCTACACTAACAGAACCTGTGGATCCTACACTAACAGATCCTGTGGATCCTACACTAACAGATCCTGTGGACCCTACACTAACAGAACCTGTGGATCCTACACTAACAGAACCTGTGGATCCTACACTAACAGAACCTGTGGACCCTACACTAACAGATCCTGTGGATCCTACACTAACAGATCCTGTGGATCCTACACTAACAGAACCTGTGGATCCTACACTAACAGATTCTGTGGACCCTACACTAACAGAACCTGTGGATCCTACACTAACAGAACCTGTGGATCCTACACTAACAGAACCTGTGGACCCTACACTAACAGAACCTGTGGACCCTACACTAACAGATCCTGTGGATCCTACACTAACAGAACCTGTGGACCCTACACTAACAGATCCTGTGGATCCTACACTAACAGAACCTGTGGACCCTACACTAACAGATCCTGTGGACCCTACACTAACAGATCCTGTGGATCCTACACTAACAGATCCTGTGGATCCTACACTAACAGATCCTGTGGATCCTACACTAACAGAACCTGTGGATCCTACACTAACAGAACCTGTGGATCCTACACTAACAGAACCTGTGGACCCTACACTAACAGAACCTGTGGACCCTACACTAACAGAACCTGTGGATCCTACACTAACAGAACCTGTGGATCCTACACTAACAGAACCTGTGGACCCTACACTAACAGAACCTGTGGACCCTACACTAACAGAACCTGTGGATCCTACACTAACAGAACCTGTGGACCCTACACTAACAGAACCTGTGGACCCTACACTAACAGAACCTGTGGATCCTACACTAACAGAACCTGTGGACCCTACACTAACAGATCCTGTGGATCCTACACTAACAGAACCTGTGGATCCTACACTAACAGAACCTGTGGATCCTACACTAACAGAACCTGTGGACCCTACACTAACAGATCCTGTGGACCCTACACTAACAGAACCTGTGGACCCTACACTAACAGAACCTGTGGATCCTACACTAACAGAACCTGTGGATCCTACACTAACAGAACCTGTGGATCCTACACTAACAGAACCTGTGGACCCTACACTAACAGAACCTGTGGATCCTACACTAACAGAACCTGTGGACCCTACACTAACAGAACCTGTGGACCCTACACTAACAGAACCTGTGGATCCTACACTAACAGAACCTGTGGATCCTACACTAACAGAACCTGTGGACCCTACACTAACAGAACCTGTGGACCCTACACTAACAGAACCTGTGGATCCTACACTAACAGAACCTGTGGACCCTACACTAACAGAACCTGTGGACCCTACACTAACAGAACCTGTGGACCCTACACTAACAGAACCTGTGGACCCTACACTAACAGAACCTGTGGATCCTACACTAACAGAACCTGTGGATCCTACACTAACAGAACCTGTGGATCCTACACTAACAGAACCTGTGGACCCTACACTAACAGAACCTGTGGATCCTACACTAACAGAACCTGTGGACCCTACACTAACAGAACCTGTGGACCCTACACTAACAGAACCTGTGGATCCTACACTAACAGAACCTGTGGATCCTACACTAACAGAACCTGTGGACCCTACACTAACAGAACCTGTGGACCCTACACTAACAGAACCTGTGGATCCTACACTAACAGAACCTGTGGATCCTACACTAACAGAACCTGTGGACCCTACACTAACAGAACCTGTGGATCCTACACTAACAGAACCTGTGGATCCTACACTAACAGAACCTGTGGACCCTACACTAACAGAACCTGTGGACCCTACACTAACAGAACCTGTGGACCCTACACTAACAGAACCTGTGGACCCTACACTAACAGAACCTGTGGACCCTACACTAACAGAACCTGTGGACCCTACACTAACAGAACCTGTGGACCCTACACTAACAGAACCTGTGGACCCTACACTAACAGAACCTGTGGACCCTACACTAACAGAACCTGTGGACCCTACACTAACAGAACCTGTGGACCCTACACTAACAGAACCTGTGGACCCTACACTAACAGATCCTGTGGACCCTACACTAACAGAACCTGTGGACCCTACACTAACAGAACCTGTGGATCCTACACTAACAGAACCTGTGGACCCTACACTAACAGATCCTGTGGACCCTACACTAACAGAACCTGTGGACCCTACACTAACAGATCCTGTGGATCCTACACTAACAGAACCTGTGGACCCTACATCACCGTCTCTGCCCAGAGTATTATTCTGATGAGTTTAGTGTGGGTCAGACAGTAAACATTAGCATTAGCCCAGTGACTCAGCGGCCCCGTTCAAATGAATGGGCTGCTGTTAGCCTAGCCTAGCCTAGCCTAGCATCCACGGGCTTCTCACAGTTTTACCTTTTGTTATACAGCTCCTCCAGACTGTGCCACTCCGCTGCCATCTCAGGAGTGGGGCTGCAGCCCTGCTGCTGCTTCAGAAACCCGCTGACGTCTTTCATTGTGGCCAAATGTGCGTTAGACCAGAGAGAAAAGAGAAAAGTGTGCGCCGTTCGCTAACATAACATGAAGAGCCGGCTGCGCATGCGCTGTTGGGTTATTCAACCGGAAAACGCCACATAATTTTTATTTTTATTATTTCCACACACATTACACGACACACACATTAACAAACGAGAGGGAATTTTAACTATATTCCTTAAACTGTTTTTGCTTTTAACTTTGTACCTTGTAAGACGACATGGAGTGACGTCATTAGCATTATTATTATTATGATTGATATTATGAAGTGGGAGACGGAAGAAGAATCGTCCTGGATGAAACTGGTGCAGTGAATGTGTGAATGTGATTCTGGGTTTGAGGATCTGTCAGAGGCTGAAACCATCACTACAAATACCAAGTGCAGGTCACTAGAACGTCCTGTAGGTGGCGGCAAATGCACAGGATGCACCAAGCTAACGGCAACTACGTCATCACGTTGCAGGAAGATCAGACGTAAACAAACCAGCACTTCACTGAGTTTACTGCGTGTCTCTCACACAGACGGCTTCAGAGGTCAGAGGTCAGAGGTCAGGATCCTGTTGTTTGTGATGTCACACCTCAGTGTTGGATTATCACGTCCTTTTCCCTCAGGTTTCTGTTCCATGAAAATCCACAGCGTGTGACGTGACCCTGACCCTCCCCTTGACCCTCCCCCTGACCCTCACCCTCTCAGGCACGTGGGGCTGTGTCTTGGTGTGGACTGTCCTGTTCTCAGGGGTCAGGGTCCTCAGACACATGTTCTCAGGGGTCAGGGTCCTCAGCGCCCCCTGCCGCAGGTTAGTTCTAATATTTTAATTTCACTATATTTGTGCCTGGTCCTGAACCACAGCCGTCTCAGGACGTTAGGATGACCACTGTCAGTCTGTGGTCTGGGACCTAAAGGACTCAGATGAGACTAGACTAGAAGTTTAGAGCCATGACAGAACACAGTCCAGCCTCTAAAGTGCAGCGTCTCAGGTCACGTGACACAGATGAATAAGACCTCGGCTAACGCTAACGCTGACATTATTTACTCATGTCCTGGTCCTGGCCTCAGTCATGGTCTCAGTCTGAGTCCTGGTCCTGGTCCTGGTCCTGGTCCTGGTCCTCATGCTCCCGTCCTCTTCAGGGCCCAGCGCTGGTTCTCCTCAGGCTCGGCTCTGACCCTGGATCAGTTGGTCCTGAACCTGAAGCAGCACAAGTACCAGAAAGTCCTTGTGATGGTGGGGGCCGGGATCAGCACTCCCAGCGGCGTCCCGGACTTCAGGTACTGTCTGCATCAGGTACTGTCTGCATCAGGTACTGTCTGCATCAGGTACTGTCTGCATCAGGTACTGTCTGCATCAGGTACTGTCTGCATCAGGTACTGTCTGCATCAGGTACTGTCTGCATCAGGTACTGTCTGCACCAGGTACTGTCTGCATCAGGTACTGTCCGCATCAGGTACTGTCTGCATCAGGTACTGTCTGCATCAGGTACTGTCCGCATCAGGTACTGTCTCCATCAGGTACTGTCTGCATCAGGTACTGTCTGCATCAGGTACTGTCTGCATCAGGTACTGTCTGCATCAGGTACTGTCTGCATCAGGTACTGTCTGCATCAGGTACTGTCTGCATCAGGTACTGTCCGCATCAGGTACTGTCCGCATCAGGTACTGTCCGCATCAGGTACTGTCTCCATCAGGTACTGTCCGCATCAGGTACTGTCTGCATCAGGTACTGTCCGCATCAGGTACTGTCCGCATCAGGTACTGTCTGCATCAGGTACTGTCCGCATCAGGTACTGTCCGCATCAGGTACTGTCCGCATCAGGTACTGTCTGCATCAGGTACTGTCTGCATCAGGTATTGTCTCCATCAGGTACTGTCTGCATCAGGTACTGTCTGCATCAGGTATTGTCTCCATCAGGTACTGTCTGCATCAGGTACTGTCTGCATCAGGTACTGTCTGCATCAGGTACTGTCTGCATCAGTTATTGTCTGCATCAGGTACTGTCTGCATCAGGTACTGTCTGCATCAGGTATTGTCTCCATCAGGTACTGTCTGCATCAGTTATTGTCTGCATCAGGTACTGTCTGCATCAGGTACTGTCTGCATCAGGTACTGTCTGCATCAGGTATTGTCTCCATCAGGTACTGTCTGCATCAGTTATTGTCTGCATCAGGTACTGTCTGCATCAGGTACTGTCTGCATCAGGTATTGTCTCCATCAGGTACTGTCTGCATCAGGTACTGTCTGCATCAGGTACTGTCTGCATCAGGTATTGTCTCCATCAGGTACTGTCTGCATCAGGTACTGTCTGCATCAGGTACTGTCTGCATCAGTTATTGTCTGCATCAGGTACTGTCTGCATCAGGTATTGTCTCCATCAGGTACTGTCTCCATCAGGTACTGTCTGCATCAGGTACTGTCTGAATCAGGTACTGTCTGAATCAGGTACTGTCTGCATCAGGTACTGAGTCCATCAGGTACTGTCTGCATCAGGTACTCCATCAGGTACTGTCTGCATCAGGTACTGTCTGCATCAGGTACTGTCTCCATCAGGTACTGTCTCCATCAGGTACTGTCTGCATCAGGTACTCTATCAGGTACTGTCTGCATCCGGTACTGAGTCCACCAGGTACTGTCTCCATCAGGTACTGTCTGCATCAGGTACTGTCTGCATCAGGTACTGTCTCCATCAGGTACTGTCTGCATCAGGTACTGTCTGCATCAGGTACTGTCTGAATCAGGTACTGTCTGCATCAGGTACTGAGTCCATCAGGTACTGTCTGCATCAGGTACTGTCTGCATCAGTTATTGTCTGCATCAGGTACTGTCTGCATCAGGTACTGTCTGCATCAGGTACTGTCTGCATCAGGTACTGTCTGCATCAGGTACTGAGTCCATCAGGTACTGTCTGCATCAGGTACTGTCTGCATCAGTTATTGTCTCCATCAGGTACTGTCTGCATCAGGTATTGTCTCCATCAGGTACTGTCTGCATCAGGTACTGTCTGCATCAGGTACTGTCTGCATCAGTTATTGTCTGCATCAGGTACTGTCTGCATCAGGTATTGTCTCCATCAGGTACTGTCTCCAGCAGGTACTGTCTGCATCAGGTACTGTCTGCATCAGGTACTGAGTCCATCAGGTACTGTCTGCATCAGGTACTGTCTGCATCAGGTACTCCATCAGGTACTGTCTGCATCAGGTACTGTCTGCATCAGGTACTGTCTCCATCAGGTACTGTCTCCATCAGGTACTGTCTGCATCAGGTACTCCATCAGGTACTGTCTGCATCCGGTACTGAGTCCACCAGGTACTGTCTCCATCAGGTACTGTCTCCATCAGGTACTGTCTGCATCAGGTACTGTCTGCATCAGGTACTGTCTGAATCAGATACTGTCTGAATCAGGTACTGTCTCCATCAGGTACTGTCTCCATCAGGTACTGTCTGAATCAGGTACTGTCTGCATCAGGTATTGTCTCCATCAGGTACTGTCTGCATCAGGTACTGTCTCCATCAGGTACTGTCTGCATCAGGTACTGTCTGCATCAGGTACTGTCTGCATCAGGTACTGTCTGCATCAGTTATTGTCTCCATCAGGTACTGTCTGCATCAGGTACTGTCTCCATCAGGTACTGTCTCCATCAGGTACTGTCTGAATCAGGTACTGTCTGCATCAGGTACTGTCTCCATCAGGTACTGTCTGCATCAGGTACTGTCTCCATCAGGTACTGTCTGCATCAGGTACTGTCTGCATCAGGTACTGTCTGCATCAGTTATTGTCTGCATCAGGTACTGTCTGCATCAGTTATTGTCTCCATCAGGTACTGTCTGCATCAGTTATTGTCTGCATCAGGTACTGTCTGCATCAGGTACTGTCTGCATCAGGTACTGTCTGCATCAGGTACTGTCTCCATCAGGTACTGTCTGCATCAGGTACTGTCTGCATCAGGTATTGTCTCCATCAGGTACTGTCTGCATCAGGTACTGTCTGCATCAGGTACTGTCTGCATCAGGTACTGTCTGCATCAGGTACTGTCTCCATCAGGTACTGTCTGCATCAGGTACTGTCTGCATCAGGTACTGTCTCCATCAGGTAATGTCTGCATCAGGTATTGTCTCCATCAGGTACTGTCTGCATCAGGTACTGTCTGCATCAGGTACTGTCTCCATCAGGTACTGTCTGCATCAGGTACTGTCTGCATCAGGTACTGTCTCCATCAGGTACTGTCTGCATCAGGTATTGTCTCCATCAGGTACTGTCTGCATCAGGTACTGTCTGCATCAGGTACTGTCTGCATCAGGTACTGTCTCCATCAGGTACTGTCTGCATCAGGTACTGTCTGCATCAGTTATTGTCTCCATCAGGTACTGTCTGCATCAGGTATTGTCTCCATCAGGTACTGTCTGCATCAGGTACTGTCTGCATCAGGTACTGTCCGCATCAGGTACTGTCTGCATCAGGTACTGTCTCCATCAGGTACTGTCTGCATCAGGTATTGTCTCCATCAGGTACTGTCTGCATCAGGTACTGTCTGCATCAGGTACTGTCTGCATCAGGTACTGAGCCCATCAGGTACTGTCTCAATCAGGTACTGAGCCCATCAGGTACTGTCTCAATCAGGTGCTGTCTGCATCAGGTACTGTCTGCATCAGGTACTGTCTGCATCAGGTACTGTCTGCATCAGGTACTGTCTGCATCAGGTACTGTCTGCACCAGGTACTGAGTCCATCAGGTACTGTCTCCATCAGGTACTGTCTGCATCAGGTACTGTCTCCATCAGGTACTGTCTCCATCAGGTACTGTCTGCATCAGGTACTGCTGCTAGCACCAGTTTGTCCCATAACCTTTTTGTGTCTCTTGTCTCTGGTCTCTGGTCTCCTCTGGTCCGCAGGTCTCTGGTCTCAGGTCTCTGGTCTCAGGTCTTCCTCTGGTCCGCAGGTCTCTGGTCTTAGGTCCCTGGTCTCTGGTCTCCTCTGGTCTCTGGTGTCCTCTCTGGTCTCAGGTCTCCTCTGGTCCCGCAGGTCTCTGGTCTCTGGTCCCACAGGTCTCTGGTCTCAGGTCTTCCTCTGGTCCTGCAGGTCTCAGGTCTCAGGTCTCAGGTCTTTGGTCTCAGGTCTCAGGTCTTCCTCTGCCTCAGAGCTACAGGTTCTGTTTATCTCTTTGTGACACGCCTCTGCCGCCGAGCGTGTGTCAGAGAGATTTAAGTGTAGAGACCACTAGGGGCGCGCTGTGAGGTAGACGTGCAAACCACGAGGTCCTGAAATCCTCTTCAAAATATATAATAATCTGCACAACTTTTCATACAAAGTACTCCTCCGGTGAGTGGATTATACTTTTCGTCGTCAGCATCTTCCTGTGGACACAAACTTCAACAAAATGCCTCCAAAATTGGGAAAATCGCAGGTTAGCAACCCAGAGGCTAGCAAGGCAAGCACACCTAAGGCTAATAGCCCCGCCCCAGGGGCTAACACTGCTACCATCGATGCTAACCATGGTCTAAGGGAAGAAATAAGACGAGCAATTGCTCCAATTCATAAAGTGCTTGACGACTGTACAGATCAAGTTTCAAGATTTGTATTTGTCAAACCAAGTGAATGGTTTGAAATTATATTAATATATATATATTATTATAATATAGATTATATTATAAGCTCCGTGACCACGGCCAAGAACCTTTTGAGCTCGATACTCGGATGACTGCTACAGAGGCTGAGTACACGGAGCTGAGCAACGAGTACGACAAACTTGTTCAGAAGTTGGATGACATTGAAAATAGGAGCAGGCGGTGCAATCTACGCCTTTTAAACATCATCGAGGGGCTTGAACAAGGAGATCCAACCAAGTTTGTTTGGGACTTATTACACAAAGTTCTCGGTGGTCCCAATGGCCTGGAGAAACCTCCTCTTTAGGATAGAGCCCACCGGACATCAGCTCAACCCCCCGCGGCTGGAGGAAGGCCACGCCCACTCATCGTCCTCTTGTTACCAAGAGAAGGAGCCTTCAGCGTCTTGCGAGAGAGAAAGGCCAACTGGAGTTCAGTGGAAGTCCGGTGATTCTGAACTTTGCACAGCACAGATTGATAATTTAACCTCCTCCATTGATATTAACTCTAATTTATTTTTAAAAACTGGCTCAAAGGAAGGAATTTTTCTAAAAATGTATCGAACAGCTCTGGTGATTGTAAGGATTCAGACTGATACAGAGTGTCATAAAATGTTTGATCACTTTTGGGTTTATAGTAACCTGCCCATTTTGGGTTCTGGCTTCAGATACCAGCTGTGTGGAGTTTAGAACCCTTCTCCCCATGGTCGTACCATCGACCCTTCTCTCCATGCTCGTACCATCGACCCTTCCCCATGCTCGTACCATCGACCCTTCTCCCCATGCTCGTACCATCGACCCTTCTCCCCATGCTCGTACCATCGACTCTTCTCCTCATGCTCGTACCATCGACTCTTCTCCTCATGCTCGTACCATCGACCCTTCTCCCCATGCTCGTACCATCGACCCTTCCCCATGCTCGTACCATCGACCCTTCTCCCCATGGTCGTACCATCGACCCTTCTCTCCATGCTCGTACCATCGACCCTTCCCCATGCTCGTACCATCGACCCTTCTCCCCATGCTCGTACCATCGACTCTTCTCCTCATGCTCGTACCATCGACCCTTCTCCCCATGCTCGTACCATCGACCCTTCCCCATGCTCGTACCATCGACCCTTCCCCATGCTCATACCATCGACCCTTCTCCCCATGGTCGTACCATCGACCCTTCTCCCCATGGTCGTACCATCGACCCTTCTCTCCATGCTCGTACCATCGACCCTTCTCCATGCTCGTACCATCGACCCTTCTCCATGCTCGTACCATCGACCCTTCTCCCCATGCTCGTACCATCGACCCTTCTCCCCATGCTCGTACCATCGACTCTTCTCCTCATGCTCGTACCATCGACCCTTCTCCCCATGCTCGTACCATCGACTCTTCTCCTCATGCTCGTACCATCGACCCTTCTCCCCATGCTCGTACCATCGACCCTTCTCCCCATGCTCGTACCATCGACCCTTCCCCATGCTCGTACCATCGACCCTTCCCCATGCTCATACCATCGACCCTTCTCCCCATGGTCGTACCATCGACCTTCTCCTGGTCGTACCATCGACCCTTCTCCCCATGGTCGTACCATCGACTGCTTCTCCTCCATGCTCGTACCATCGACCCTTCTCCCCATGCTCGTACCATCGACCCTTCTCCCCATGCTCGTACCATCGACTTCTGCTCGTACCATCGACCCTTCTCCCCATGCTCGTACCATCGACCCTTCTCTTCTCGTACCATCTCATGCTCGTACCATCGACCCTTCTCCCCATGCTCGTACCATCGACTCTTCTCCTCATGCTCGTACCATCGACCCTTCTCCCCATGCTCGTACCATCGACCCTTCTCCCCATGCTCGTACCATCGACCCTTCTCCCCATGCTCGTACCATCGACTCTTCTCCTCATGCTCGTACCATCGATCCCTTCTCCCCATGCTCGTACCATCGACTCTTCTCCTCATGCTCGTACCATCGACCCTTCTCCCCATGCTCGTACCATCGACCCTTCTCCCCCATGGTCGTACCATTGACCCTTCTCCCCCATGGTCGTACCATCGACCCTTCTCCCCATGGTCGTACCATCGAGCCTGTCGAGTTGTTCTCAGATTGAATTCCGTTTGTAAAACCATTCGTTGTTTATAGAACTCTGGGGAAGGTGTCATGGAATGTTGAGAATCTCATTTTTGTCTCGTCAACTCTGAAAACTCTGAAATACGATTTTGTTTCTGCTTTTCACATGAACAGAAAGAAACGATCCGTCCTCGTAGAAATACTTTTAAACTTTCCCAAACAGGACTATAAGCCGTACCAGGGGTTAAATATGACTCCCAAACAGGACTATAAGCTGTACCAGGGGTTAAATATGACTCTAGAAAGACATTGATTTGTTCACCAACATATTCCACAGATGTCTTATCGGACAATAATGGATCAAGTCTCCATGAAGACAAAGGGCTAGAACCAAAGGGCTAGAACCAAAGGGCTAGAACCAAAGGGTTAGAACCAAAGGGCTAGAACCAAAGGGCTAGAACCAAAGGGCTAGAACCAAAGGGCTAGAACCAAAGGGCTAGAACCAAAGGGCTAGAACCAAAGGGCTAGAACCAAAGGGCTAGAACCAAAGGGCTAGAACCAAAGGGCTAGAACCAAAGGGCTAGAACCAAAGTTCTAGAACCAAAGGGCTATAATCAGACACAACTACACTTTCATATCTACAAGATTTAACATTTGAGAACATGTTCTTATCCATGAAAAATAGTCGGTGTGATGCTGGTGAACTGGTGAGAAACATGTGTTTTAAAGAGGGATTAAAATGACAAACACCGACATATTCAGATACGACTGTGAAACTCAAGTGGATTTTGAAACTGAAAGAGGTTTTGCAGAACTGGGTCCATCCCCGTGTTCATATCACCACAAACAAATAATGTGTATTAATTTGAGGTAAAGAGTGAAGAAAGTTCTTGAAAGCATTGACCCTCCCAGTTAGAGGCAGAACTAAAGGAATATTAATCAAAGATCCAGTTACTTTACGAAACGACCAGTAGGATCAGATGTTGTGTCGAAGCCCTAAAAGGAGTGTTTTTATGAATGAGAATGGCCTCTCGCCTTTGCCTTTAAGTTGAAGTGGAAAACTTGTCCCACCCAATTTCTTTTTAGTTTTGGTTGTGATAACTTTTTGAGGTGTAACAGATGAGAAAGTACTCACTGCATTTTATTGGATGGTTCAATCCTTTTATATTCCAACTTATGAAGTTAACACGGCGGCCATGACCTCCAGCTTGAGAATCATCTGATGGAGTAACCATGGTTACCTTCAAGTGAATGAGTATTCCAGTTGGCATACGACATTCCTGCTACTACGGATACAAAGACAGGATTACCTACAGTATAAAAAAGTGCAAAGTGAAAACAAAACTGAAAAAAAACATACATCCCCCCCCCTCCCTAACAACCCCCCCCCCCCTAATAACCCCCACCCCCTCCCTAATATCCCCCCACCCCCTCCCTAATAACCCTCACCCCCTCCCTAATATCCCCCCACCCCCTCCCTAACAACCCCCCCCCCTAATAACCCTCACCCCCTCCCTAATATCCCCCCAGCCCCCTCCCTAACACCCCCCCCTCCCTAATATCCCCCAGCCCCCTCCCTAACACGACCCCCCCTCCCTAATATCCCCCCACCCCCTCCCTAACAACCCCCCCCTCCCTAATAACCCTCACCCCCCTCCCTAATAACCCTCACCCCCCTCCCTAATATCCCCCCACCCCCTCCCTAACAACCCCCCCCTCCCTAATAACCCTCACCCCCCTCCCTAACAACCCCCCCCTCCCTAATAACCCTCACCCCCCTCCCTAATATCCCCCCAGCCCCCTCCCTAACACCCCTCCCTAATATCCCCGGGGTTGTCCCCAATCGACAACACAACATGCCCTGTGTCGTCACTTCCATTGAGAGTCCTCTTCTTCTCAACCACAGTCTCTTCTTTAAAAGGCAAATAAAATAACCTGCACAATTAAGAGTGCGCACAAATGAGGTACAATATACAATACACCAGGAGATCCATTTATGGTTCATTCTAGTAGGAGAAAAAAATAAAACTAAAATAATGACAAAAAATGTCTAGATGGTAGCTGCGAGTTAAATAAAAATAGTGGAGAAATATAGGAGATAAATAAAATAATAAATAGACCTGATAATTGCTGTAAATTAAATAATAATAATAATAAAAAATAAAAAATAAATAAATAAGGTAGGACTATGAACAGAATTTTTCACAGGTAAAACATCTACAGTAAAGTATGGTCTAACGTACTAATGTAAAGTACTAAAGAAATAAGAAAAATATACAAAATAATGAAACGTATATCTAAACTATTCTTTAAAAAATAAAAATAAAATAACTGTAAAAACCCAAATACTCATGGATCACATCCATGAGTCAGAATAATTTTACAAATGTAATTAAGAAAAAAAAACTGTAATCAGACAAATAACGTATAAACTTGTAACGCTTCAGATAAACAAGAAGTAACTTTAACTGTTATTGTCTTTAAACGTCCACGCTATCAGCAGAGCAGCCGGTTTTGTTTTTCCTAAACTTTTGAGTCACTTTCACACTCTTGTGTCAAATACTTTTAAAAGTATTTCTACGAGGACGGATCGTTTCTTTCTGTTCATGTGAAAAGCAGAAACAAAATCGTATTTCAGAGTTTTCAGAGTTGACGAGACAAAAATGAGATTCTCAACATTCCATGACACCTTCCCCAGAGTTCTATAAACAACGAATGGTTTTACAAACGGAATTCAATCTGAGAACAACTCGACAGGCTCGATGGTACGACCATGGGGGAGAAGGGTCGATGGTACGACCATGGGGGAGAAGGGTCGATGGTACGACCATGGGGGAGAAGGGTCGATGGTACGACCTTGGGGAGAAGGGTCGATGGTACGACCATGGGGAGAAGGGTCGATGGTACGACCATGGGGAGAAGGGTCGATGGTACGACCATGGGGAGAAGGGTTGATGGTACGACTATGGGGGAGAAGGGTCGATGGTACGACCATGGGGAGAAGGGTCAATGGTACGAGCATGGGGGAGAAGGGTCGATGGTACGACCATGGGGAGAAGGGTCGATGGTACGACCATGGGGAGAAGGGTCGATGGTACGACCATGGGGAGAAGGGTCGATGGTACTTACTTACCTTGGCCTTGATAATTACTTACCTTCTCCTTGATAATTACTAACCTTGGCCTTGATAATTACTAACCTTGGCCTTGATAATTACTTACCTTGGCCTTGATAATTACTAACCTTGGCCTTGATAATTACTTACCTTGGCCTTGATAATTGCTAACTTTGGCCTTGATAATTACTTACCTTGGCCTTGATAATTACTAACCTTGGCCTTGATAATTACTTACCTTGGCCTTGATAATTACTAACCTTGGCCTTGATAATTACTAACCTTGGCCTTGATAATTACCAACCTTGGCCTTGATAATTACTAACTTTGGCCTTGATAATTACTTACCTTGGCCTTGATAATTACTTACCTTGGCCTTGATAATTACTAACTTTGGCCTTGATAATTACTAACCTTGGCCTTGATAATTACTTACCCTGGCCTTGATAATTACTTACCTTGGCCTTGATAATTACTAACCTTGGCCTTGATAATTACTAACCTTGGCCTTGATAATTACTAACCTTGGCCTTGATAATTACTAACCTTGGCCTTGATAATTACTTACCTTCTCCTTGATAATTACTAACCTTGGCCTTGATAATTACTAACTTTGGCCTTGATAATTACTTACCTTGGCCTTGATAATTACTAACCTTGGCCTTGATAATTACTTACCTTGGCCTTGATAATTACTAACCTTGGCCTTGATAATTACTAACCTTGGCCTTGATAATTACTTACCTTCTCCTTGATAATTACTAACCTTGGCCTTGATAATTACTAACCTTGGCCTTGATAATTACTAACCTTGGCCTTGATAATTACTTAGCTTCTCTTTGATAATTACTTACCTTGGCCTTGATAATTACTAACCTTGGCCTTGATAATTACTTACCTTCTCTTTGATAATTACTTACCTTGGCCTTGATAATTACTAACCTTGGCCTTGATAATTACTAACTTTGGCCTTGATAATTACCAACCTTGGCCTTGATAATTACTAACCTTGGCCTTGATAATTACTAACCTTGGCCTTGATAATGACTAACCTTGGCCTTGATAATTACTAACCTTGGCCTTGATAATTACTTACCTTCTCTTTGATAATTACTTACCTTGGCCTTGATAATTACTAACCTTGGCCTTGATAATTACTTACCTTCTCTTTGATAATTACTTACCTTGGCCTTGATAATTACTAACCTTGGCCTTGATAATTACTTACCTTCTCTTTGATAATTACTTACCTTGGCCTTGATAATTACTAACCTTACCTAACCTAACCTTTATCAATAGAACCCCTGGCGATTAAACTGCGGGCAGATAAAAGAGTTAAGGGTGTCAGTAGGGCAGGAGAAGAACCTGTCTTTATACGCAGAGGACTTATTATTGTACATATCCGACCCCTTGAGCTCTCTCGCCCATGCTTTTACCATGTTTGATGACTTTGGCCGCATCTCTGGTTATAAATTGAATATGCATAAAAGTGAATTACTTAGAATTAACTTAAAGGGTAAAGAAATTGTATTTTCTAATTTCAACTTCAAAGTTAAAACAGATTTTATAACATACATAGGTGTTAAAGTAACTCAAGATTTTAAACTATTATATGAAGCTAATTTCATGTCACTTGTTGAGAAAACACAAACTGACATACAAAGATAACTTACCATTATGATTGAAAGGCCGTAAGGTTAAAATTAATTTTTCAATGCATCCCACTTTATCTACCAAAGAAGTTTTTTGTTTCTCTTGATAAACTCATTTCATCTTACATATGGAACGGTAAACCTCCACGGATCCGGAATTTATGCAAAGACCGAGGTCCTCAGGTGGTCTAGCCCTGCCCAACTTTCAGAACTATTACTGGGCAGCAAATATATTGGACTAAGGATGTGACTCCCTCTCGGGTTAATATTGAGAAATATTACTGTGAAAATACCTCTCTGCCAGCATTGTTAACTACATCACTCCCTTTAGAAATTCACCATTTCAAATGTGACCCGTGCTTTATGATTCTCTGAGAGTATTGGTACAGTGTAGGAAAACATTTGGCCTGCACACAATGTCAATAAAGGCTCCTTTGTTTTCAAACCATGCATTTCCACCGTCCATGGTTGATTCGGCTTTTAACATCTGGAACAACAAAGGGTTACACACATTTAAAGATCTTTTTATTGATCATGTTTTTGCCTCATTCCTACAACTAACCGAACATTTTAATATACCTAAAACACATTTTTTCCGTTATCTACAGTTACGTCATTTTATGAATAACAAATACCCTTCCTTTCCTAATCTACCTGCAGCTTCAACCATGGACGACATACTAGAGGTAAATGTTTCTACAAAGGGAAGCATTCGAGAAATGTATAATATTTTGTTTGATATACAGTCCATGTCTTTGACCGTTATTAAATCACATTGGGAAAAGGATGTAGCACTGAACAGATGAGCTCTGGGGGCCATGCTGCGAGGGGTTCACGCTTCTATTTGTGCCAGACATGGACTTATCCAATTTAAGGTCCTTCACCGATTACATCTTTCTAAGGAGAAACTAGCTACATTGTATCCGGGCACAGATCCTTTGTGTAAAATGTATTTTTAAAACTCTTTCAGATGCTTACAGTGTTAGAGATGTACCCAATGTTCTGACGGAGCTCTTTGGGGTGTTGCGTCGCAGACTAACTTTCCCAAATGACTCCTTACGTGCATCTCTGACGATGACGTCTTATTGTTTTTAAATGGAAAGACCAGTCCTCTCCTGCACATTCCCATTGGAGCACTGATCTTATGCACTTTCTACATATAGAAAAAATGAGGTATACACTTTCTGGCTCAATTGCTAAATTTGAGCGATTGTGGCGGCCATTCCTAAAGTACATGGAAGATATGAAAATGGTTGGCATACCTTGATATATCTATAATAAAAGCTGTAACTCTAATTTTACCTTGATATTACAGTATGGGGATCTTGTTTACATGTTTTATTTTATTTTATTTTTGTTATTACCCTATCCAGTGATTATAATAGAGCCATGTGTCACACAGTGGTGTGAAGGACAGGATTTTTAATATATAAAACATCATAAACAGCTGCAGGAGTGTGTCTTGTCAAAGCAGGAGGTTTTGGTTTGTTTGTGTGTAGATAATCATTTGTCCGTTCTTCTGTTCGTACACGGTGGTTATTTACACACAGATTGTTCTGTGACAGACACAAATGTCAAATTACACACATCTGTTTACACACACAGTCCAAGTTACACTTGTGAATCTGCGAAGGCAGGACTGCATCAAAAGATTCTTGTGTAAAAGAAAAAACTTGTGTAAAACACACAAATCTGTTTGAAACAATAATAGCTCCATAGTCCCACAGGTCTCTGGTCTCAGGTCTTCCTCTGGTCCCGCAGGTCTCAGGTCTCCTCTGGTCTCTGGTCTTCCTCTGGTCCCGCAGGTCTCAGGTCTCCTCTGGTCTCTGGTCTTCCTCTGGTCCCGCAGGTCTCAGGTCTCCTCTGGTCTCTGGTCTCTGGTCTTCCTCTGGTCCCGCAGGTCTCAGGTCTCCTCTGGTCTCTGGTCTCTGGTCTTCCTCTGGTCCCTCAGGTCTCCTCTGGTCTCTGGTCTCTGGTCTTCCTCTGGTCCCGCAGGTCTCAGGTCTCCTCTGGTCTCTGGTCTCTGGTCTCAGGTCTGGTCTGGTCCCGCAGGTCTCAGGTCTCCTCTGGTCTCTGGTCTCTGGTCTCTGGTCTCAGGTCTGGTCTGGTCTCCTCAGGTCTCAGGTCTCCTCTGGTCTCTGGTCTCTGGTCTCTGGTCTCTGGTCTCAGGTCTGGTCTGGTCCCGCAGGTCTCAGGTCTCCTCTGGTCTCTGGTCTCTGGTCTCTGGTCTCTGGTCTCTGGTCTCAGGTCTGGTCTGGTCCCGCAGGTCTCCAGGCAGCGGTCTGTACTCCCGGCTGCAGCAGTACCGGTTGCCGTACGCGGAGGCCATCTTTGACCTGGACTACTTCCTGCAGGACCCCAGACCCTTCTTCTCTGTGGCCAAAGACCTGTGTCCTGGGACCTCTGGGACCTCTGGGACCTGTGCTCCCAGCGAGGCCCACGCCCTCTGCCGCCTCCTGCTGGACAAAGGCCTGCTACTGCGCCTCTACACTCAGAACATCGACGGCCTGGAGCGATGTGAGTCCTTGTAAGAAATGTTATGTGTATTATCATATTGATAAATGTGTGTAGATTAGTAGGGTCTAGTCTAGTTAACCCACTCATGCGGAGGGTGGGATGCAGCATTCTCCCAGCCCCCAGGCAAGAGTGAAAGACGAGACGTATAAACAAGCACAAAGCCAGAAAACATCTGGGTTGAGTTGGTCTTATGAAAGAAGAAACTTCTGTTGGAAGAGAGTGACCTAGAGTTCATAGGTCATATTGTCACATGTGTTTTAAATCTTCATATCCTGTTACCTCCAGGATAGGAGGGCAGGCTGGGCTATCAGCGAGGTCTTTGTGCCTTGCCTCTCCATCAGTGCAGTTAGACCCAGGCTCCACTCAGCCTGTCTTTTATCTGTATTCTGTTTTATATATTAACCCTTCTTTTATATCTATCTAAGTTTGTAGTTTCCTTTCTTTCATCAGGCGACTGTTTTAAGCCCCGTCCCAATACTCGCACTTCCACCCTCGCGCCCCTCATTTGCGCGTTCCCGATAAAGGGTGCGAGTGCGTAGGGTGTCCCAATTCTCCAGGGAGGTCTTTGGCCCCGCCCCCTTTGCGCCCCTGATCCACACTTCGCCGTAGCCTGCATCTATGCGCACTCTGGCGAAGGATATTGCCCATAATTCTTTGCGGTACACACCAAAACGTCGGGAAAATGCAAATTTTGAAATATATATGCAGTATGTGTGTAAATAAGTTTTGCTGTTACTTGGAAAGAAGCATAAAGGTCTGATGAAGAATTACGGACATTGTGTTTTAACAATTTAATACATTTTAAAGCAAGCGTTTATATAACATTCAATTTAAACTTTACACTTAGTACAATAATCTTAGAATGTATAAAAACTGACCAGATAGTTAGTTACCCACATTTAACTTAAAATTATACAGCTATCTCTAATTAAAAACAACTAATATACATGTATTTTAACGTGTGTGAAGCAATTCATTTTGTTTCCCAAAGGGTCAGACGAAATTACCTTTAATGTTTATATAAAGTTTAGGTCTGAAAATGACCATCTCTTGAGTCGATGACGTAACCTGCTCTCAGTGTGCACTGTCCCAATTCTGTCTTTTTTGCACGCTTGTAACCTGCGCACTCCAACCCTGGTGTGCACTTCCAACAAATGCACACTTCGTAGAGGTGTGTAGGGTGCAGTGTGGGTATTGGGACGGGGCCTTAGTAGTAGTAGTAATGAAGAATTTCATTTTTATTGTATAAACACTGAACATAAATGATCTTCTCTGAGACCAGTGTTGATGAACAGAAACAGAGACTGATCCAACCTTCACCAAATGTATAAAGTGTGTTTCATCTGTTTTTGAGAACTGGTCAAAAACCCTCCAGGAATGGTTCATTCTGGGAATGATTTTAGATCATTTGATGAAGCTTTTAACATTCATAGATTTTAGAGAGAGAGACTGACAGTTTGTAACATAACCTTTGTTGGCGAATGACAGGTTAAATTTATGAATTGAACACTGAAAAAAAGATGAAATATGAGGTAATAAAGGCTTGAATCGAGTGGTTTTTATCTTAGTGTGTGCACATTCCGACTGTGTTAAAATAAGATTCTCCAACGGGACAAAAACCATTTAGTCTTATTTCAAGAACTGTTGCTTTATTTTCTCATTCCAAGGGAGACATTTCTTGTATTATTTCAAAACTAGATCATTTTGCTTCGTCCCATCAGCAAATCTTGTTTTAAGTCGCAGTCAGAATGTGCTCAAATTAAGACCCATCCATCCATCCATCCATCTTCTTCCCCTTAATCCATTTCTGGGTCGGGGGTGTGTCAGTCAGAGCTGCACCCACAGAGCACCAGCCCCTCCCTGATCCTCCTGCAGGTGGTGGGTCCACAGGAGCTGAGATCTGTCAGTGGGGGCTTCAGGCAAAGTGAGGTTAAGTGTCTTGCCCAAGGATGGGACAAACCATTTAGTCTTATTTCAAGAACTGTTGCTTTATTTTCTCATTCCAATGGAGACATTTCTTGTATTTTTTCAAAACAAGATCATTTTGCCTTTTCCCATCGGTGAATCTTGTTTTAGTCAGAATGTGCTCAAATTAAGACACATGTTTCCAAATTTGAGCAATATTTGACTTATTTTGCAGTGAACTTGAGAGCTGGTTAGTACTGTCATGTTGTTGTGTCCATAAGGAAAGACACCTTTCACAAAAGACAACACAAAAAGTAGTTTCAAGAATTCTATTTTTGAATTCTTGAAAATAGAATTCTTGAGCTATACTAATATACTATATAGTGTACTATAGCTATACTAATGATTTTAATGAGTATAGCTACGGTTTACTAATCTTATCTTGTGCTGTGTGCTCCTCGTTCCTACTGTTCTATAACTTCTGATGCAACACTGACATTTCCCCGCTGTGGGACAAATAAAGGATCTCTTGATCTTGATAAGGAAGAAAACAGCTCTTGCGCTCTGTACTTGTGTACACATTCAGTTGTTGGGCAGAGGATTTGTCTACTATGAAAATTAATCTCAATGTGTGTGACTGTGTCAACTGCGCTTCAGATGTCCCAGATAATAACGGTTACAAATGCAGTTGCTTTGTTTATCCCCAATAGACTGTAGATAGTTAGTACCAAGATCTGAGTACTCTGCGCTTCATTGGTGGCTGGAAAGCGGAAGCGAGATTTCCACCCGCAAATACGAACAAACAACACATGCCAGTTGTATGGTGCTGAGATCGCCGACTTCTTCTTCTTTAATGGCTTTTTCTGTCTCTGAGACGAAAAATCTTAGTGAGCGGTTGGAATAACCGGTGAACTCTGGCCATCTCCTGAAGTTTCTACATTAAGATTAGGTTAAGAGATCTTTTATTCGTCCCACAGTGTGGAAATTTCAGTGTTGCATCACAAGTTATAGAACAGTAAGAAAAAGCAGCACACAGCACAAGATAAGTGACCAATAGCTATACTAATTAAAATAAAACAAAATCTCTAACTCTAGCATCGGCAACATGAATAGAATCTCTATCTTGAAAATAATAATAATAAAAAATAAGTATAAAAGTTTTACATTTGGCAAAATAAGAAGCAAGTAATAAGTACTGTGTATTCTAGTGCAAGCAGTGTAGTTATATGTTAGCATCTGTACATCAGCAGCAGTATGTTTACATCTGTATGTTGTTGTTTGTATCTGTATATACATATTTACATATACATACGACGAGGAAATGAGAAAGGTGCAGGGCCGTGTTCAAGCCAGTATGCGGGACCGAAGTAATCGTGTAAATGTAAGTTCAAACATTGTAAATAGAAATAAGTGTTGTAGTATTTTATAATATAACTTATTTGCATTGTAGATTACGCTTGGTGATAACTACACTGTTGATGTCAATGGGCTTGCCAAGTGCCATCACAAAGGATCTGTTTTATTGTTTGGGTAAGTACATAACGCTTATACTTTATATCACCCGTGTCTATAATTTCATTGTGTCAGATACAAGAATGTTAGCAAAACAGACATCAAAGCGTCATGGATTCAGCGACTTGAAATTCAGCTGACTTTGTAATGATGCATTCAGGGCGTCGTTTTTATGCTCCATCGCAAAAAAAAAAAAAAGGTTTTCCAATACTTTTCTGCCTTGTCCACTGCGCAGAACCGGGAGGACCAGACCATGCCCAAATATAGCAGAGTTCCGCTAATCTTTCGGTCCTCCTGTACGTCCCATACGCTCAAGCCCCGGTGATCCAAGATGGCGTCCTATTCAAATCAATGGCTTGTGCTCAGTAGCGCATGTGGAAATACAGGAGGACCAAAAGATTAGTGGAACTCGCCTGTATTTGGGCATCGTCTGGTCCTCCCGGTTCTGTGCAGTGGACGAGCTCCCATGATGCGTTGCGCCAAATACGCGTGTGTGGCTCTGATGCATGTGCAGTTTTTGACCGATTATGCTAATGGTCAAACATTATTAAATGAGCTGTACAGTAACACAGATAATCAATGCTAAGATATGTACATGTATGATTGGAAATAAATGTGTGTGTGTTATTTTAGGTTTGTGGCTGCATACAAGTGGAGTTTTGGGGGCCAGTCCAGATGGCATCATACATTGGCCTGCCACACACAACTACACGCATCAACCTCCATCTCTCGCCCGTCAGCTGGAAGCGATGTGACTTAGGCTTAGGCCTGTCACGATAACAAATTTTGCTGGACGATTAATTGTCTCAGAAATTATTGCGATAAGCGATTATATTGTCGTTCTGAGATCATTTGCATCGATTACAATGATAATGCAGGTACACCTTTTCAAAGAGAAATAAACTTTTATTTTTAACGAATATTTAACGCTAGAACACAATAAATTAACAAACAACCAAAAACAATAAATAAAATAGACTCAGTCTCTTAACAAAAAATGACCAGGAATAAAACTGCCAGGACCTTTGTAAAGAAAATATGAAACAGATGCCTCAAATGTCAATAATTTCTCAGACTTTATGGCAGATTACGAGAAAGAAATACCAACATGTTGACTTTGTGTGGCTTAAGACAGGATCTCTCAGGAGTAGTCCCACCTCCCCACACACCAGGTGAATGACAAGTGGCATGTCATGAACTGACATGTGGGTTCACCAATGGGGCGTACAGAAGTCCTGCTGCGGTAGCGCCCACCGGAAGTAGCGGGGCGGGCTTTGATGCTAAAAGCTAAGCTAGCGGGTTTTTGTGTAAAGTTCTACTCCAAGAATGCAAGTCTGCAGCATCTCTGTGTTCAGAGACCTTCTAGAGACTTTATATAACAGCAGTATGTGTTCACGGAGGTGCGCCATAAGTTTATTTTATTGGTATGGTACGGTACTTCTGCATCGGCGAACACGCTAACGCTAGCTGCGCTAGTATAGTCACTAATCAAGCCTGAATGAGAACTCAGCTGCCGGCATATGTTCACATCTACTGTGTCCCCCATTGTCAATCCTGGTTAAGTCCTGGTTTAGGTCCTGTTTTGGCTGTATTTTGT